ATGAAATGAAATGAAATGAAATGAAATGAAATGAAATGAAATGAAATGAAATGAAATGAAATGAAATGAAATGAAATGAAATGAAATGAAATGAAATGAAATGAAATGAAATGAAATGAAATGAAATGAAATGAAATGAAATGAAATGAAATGAAATGAAATGAAATGAAATGAAATGAAATGAAATGAAATGAAATGAAATGAAATGAAATGAAATGAAATGAAATGAAATGAAATGAAATGAAATGAAATGAAATGAAATGAAATGAAATGAAATGAAATGAAATGAAATGAAATGAAATGAAATGAAATGAAATGAAATGAAATGAAATGAAATGAAATGAAATGAAATGAAATGAAATGAAATGAAATGAAATGAAATGAAATGAAATGAAATGAAATGAAATGAAATGAAATGAAATGAAATGAAATGAAATGAAATGAAATGAAATGAAATGAAATGAAATGTCATTTATTATTAATTTATTGTAATTAATTATTTGCATGCAATTAAAAACTAATTTTAAACGATGCCAAAGAAGGATAACTTCTCACGCGCCTACATAAGTACACGCACCCATTTTTTTTTATCAGGTTTTGGTGAACATTTGGTTCACTGGTTTGCTAGTTTGTATTTAAGAGCGCAAACAAAACGTCAATTCGTTTATTGGTCACAACAATACAGTCTCGCATGTCATCAGTAAACTAATTGACGTTTTGGTTCAACTCTCCCACATGGGTAAATGTCAAATCAAATCCTCTTTATTGCCTAGCTTTGTTACCAGGTCCGATTTTAAAAAATCGGGAAGCGTTTTAGAAAATAACAGTAGATGTATGGAAAGAGCTACAAGAAGAAACAGTAGAATCAGAGACGTAATTTTTCCGATTTGCAGACCCCCCCCCCCCCCCCTCCTCATAGAATTGGTAAAACTAATCATTATATAAGCCAGCACCTGAATGGAAGCCACGAATGAAGCAAGGGGAGGCAAAAGCCACGTATGTGTTGCTGTGGGCCGCCCCTTAACGCTCGTTCTTTTTTATACAAAAACATCTTTATTCCATTATTACCTACATTAAAACGCAACTCAACATGCAATTTAAAAAAGAAAATCGTATTTTATTTCATTCAAAAAATTCAAGACCCTTTTTCTCAGGAACTTATAAAGGTATCAAGCTAAGATTTATATCAAATACTCAGGTCTACTTTCCCTTGGAGCTGTGAAAAAATCGAACTTCTAAGCCAAAGCAATAAACAGAAACAGCCGTTTATGCCGCAAATTTTCGAAACTCGCACGGGAATCAAAACCTACAGGGTACTTCACGTAAACTCAGAATCTTGAAATTTGGTACGAAGTAACGTCTCATAGCAAGGATAAAGGAAACCTTGCGAAAACCGTATTTTTTTGTTATTTCACATACTTTTTTTTAATAATTATTATATACCTACAGGTTTGTACGGAACCCTCGGTGCGTGAGCCCGACTCGCACTTGGCCGGTTTTTACTTCATATTAAGAGTTTTTTTATTAATAAAAAAAATTACTTTCATAATTTCAGCAAATGAAAAATATTGCAGGAAAATACTGACCTAAATAATTAATACCTACCTACCTACTTATTACAATTTTCAACCTTTCTATGTTATACCAATAACAGAATTTCAGCAAAATCAATGAAAATCTTGCAGAACAATGCTGACCTAAATAATTAGTACTTAGAAAAAAAATCAAATTTTATAGGTGCTAATATAAGAAACGAAATCGTTATTTATTTGATAATTTTATTAATAAAATCATTCCTTGCACATTTATACGAGTGACTGACATCATAGAGTTCATTAATTACCAACTAAGGTGCATTGAAGTTATGTGTAAGTACCAGATCAAATGGTATATTTAACGGCATAAATTATGAAATACATGTATGTAAATAAACGTGTTTTATGTGTCTATTGAACTATAATTGTTATGGATACATTTTGCAACACTTTGTACTTTTACAGTTTGAAAATCGTACAAATACACAGACACACTGAAGGCACTCTTATTTAAGCTGAATATAAATCAAGTAGTACAACTAATTGCGAGGAATCCAACAATAATTTGATTTTATGACACAATCAAAATGAGAGAGCTGGCGAACAAAACGGTATAATTATGCATCTGGGCAAACTACTTTTTTCAGTCCGGAGTTAAAATTTGTAAATTTATATATATTTAAAATCACGACAAAAGCTCATTGTACGTATGTCATACATTTTTTTGCAGCTCCTGTTAAATTTCATTGTATGTAATTAAACCGTTTTATTCGCTAGCTTCTTAAATATTGTATGTATATATGTAATATTCGACCTTTATGTAGCAACAAGGTACGGTAGAGAAATGAATTTACGAATGCAAATCGTGAAAATTTAAGATTTCAATATTTTTATTCCACTTATTCTACAAAAAATCGTCCAGCTTTTTCATACATTGTATAAATATTTCCGATAAAATCAGACCCAGCATTCAGGTAACTTACATTTTTTAGATAGTGACGATATGTAAAAATACACAAACAAAATTCACAAAAATGACTATTGTTTGTAATTGTTTTTTTATTCATACATTAAAACTGTAAGTACTGGAATTAATAGTGCCAATTTCAGTATTATGATAATTTCAATTCAACTATCAAAAATCTGTAGCTAACTAGATAATATAATAACAGATACCTAAAATCTAAAGAAAATATTTCTAGAAAAAACTCCACGCGGACCAGGTAGGAGACGGGATTCGAACCCGCACCCTTCGCTATCCGGGCGAATGCACTGACCATTATGCTACCACGGCCCTGATGGCCGTGTTATTGGTCACTGCATTAGATTTTTTCTAGTAACATTTTCTTAAGTATTAAACATCAAAAAGTTACATGCTTATAAAATAAAAATTATAAATACCTAAAATATTTAACTTTGTAAAGAGATTTATTAAAAACGTGTCACAAAATATTTAGATATTAAGCGAGTGTTGTACATACAATAATATTAATTGATCCCATATGGCTATTTAGCCTCAGCTGTATTTAAGCCTACATTTTATCACAGAACAGCTACGACGTAATGAACACCAACTATCACTATAGTAAACATTGAAATTGTGAGAAACATCGTGTTTTGTTTTTAATCTATGTCAACTGCCCGTAAGCATAAATATTGTAGTTACATATACGAATACACATTATCATATGCAGTTTATTAAATTCAGGTAATAAGTACAATAAACTGAAAGATGTTTATATCTAAAGAAAAAGAAATCAGTAGAAATAAAGTTGGCCTAGGTATAAATCAGGGTGGAACCTGTGACCCGTGTTTTTTTTAAAAATCAGGCTTTTATTTATTTTTTAAGTTTCGTTAATTTATTTGAAACTTTGTTTTTATACAGATCAGAAAGTACAATTTAAATTTTTACCTCATTTATTTTAGAAAAATAGCGTCACTCCATACAAAGCTCATACAATGAAATGACTTAATAATATTAAAAAAAATACACTATCATTGGTGAGAATGAGTGTTTGTATTGAGTATGATGTATGATGAGCGCAGGTTTGCTTCAGAAACCTTGACTTAATTTCAAATAGATAAAGAAAAATCTTTCTATTCAAGCAGAGGCATCTCTAGCCCTTGTAGCGCTCGTGTACAATCATTTAAATGCGCCCACTGAACACAGAAAGAGGTTAGAAAGGTAATTACCGTTTGTACGGAAACTGATGTCGCGGGCTCGCCCCCACTACACTTCCATCTAATACAGGGTTACCAGATGATAAAATCAAAAGTCCGGAGAAAAGGCTTGATTTCCATTGAAAAATCCTGAGATTTTTTACAGTTTGAGAATTTTCTCTCAAACGTACTTAACAATTTAAAAAAGTCATAATATTATCATTTATACTTTTAAATCAATATAATTTGAAGAGCTTAACATGTGGGGCATTATATAAATCCATATTTGAAGAAAAAACCTTACTTAAAATTGTATCTTCACATATTAAGTATGATAAAACTAAATAAGTACCTACTTGGATAATAAAGTACTGATTTTAATTGTGAATTTATTACCAATAGATGATTATTTTTAGTTTGTTTAATTTTTTTAAAGAGATCTTTAAAACGTAAGCTGTATTTTATTGGAAATTCAAAAAATCCTAAAATTTCATGAGATTTGCAAAATCCAGCCGCAATTCTGAGAAAAGTCCAAAAATCCTGAGATATGGTAACCCTAATCTAATAGATAATAGCCAATCAAACGACACGACATCAAACAATCGAATTAATCAGTGCTCACACCCAAGAACAACGATGTAATCAGAACCAAGTTTTCGTCAAGTTCTGAGCTTTTGCTCACACATAACTGTGACGCACCTGCCCCACCCACAAGGCCCTTCTCAAGGGCGGATCCAGGGGAGGGGTCATGGGGGTCATGACCCAGCCCAGGGGAGGGGTTCATACCTACTTTTTACTTGTATCTTTTATTAACAAAATTTAATTTAAACTTTTTATGACTTGACAACGACTATATGACCCCCCCTGGCGCCAAAGCTGGATCCGCCCTTGACCGTCTTACATATTTCTGTGTTCTGTGGCTGCGCCCATGTGCAACACACATCCTGCACTAAAGGTTAGTCCAGTCACTTTAGGGGAAAAAATGGGGTCAATATCGGAATTTGAGATAATAAGCTGCAAATATACAAGGTATTTTTCACCGAGATTCACGGTTGACCTTGTATTCCAGTATAAATAAATAAATAAATATTTCCAACACTCACACCAATTAGCCTAGCCCCAAAGAAAGCACTGTAAGGCTTGTGTTATGGGATGCTAGGGTAACGGATAGATTACATATACTGTACTTATATAAGTATATTTATATAGAAAAACATATTAAACATCCATGACTGGAGTACAAAACCTCGTATTCATCACACAAACATCTGCCCCCACCGGGTCTCGAACTCGGGACCTCTCGAGTCGGCGACACCATGAAACCCGGCATACAAACCACTCAACCACGGAGGTCGTCGAAAGTGTATATGCCTGAGCGCTGGGTACTCTCCGTCCTCTATCACAAAAAGGGTTGAGCGTATAAATAAAAAATTGAGACAAAAGTTGTGGCAATTCTTTTTTTTTTATCTTTATTTTTTATTATAGGTATTGAAGTGATTGGAACCATAGAAACGGAGATAATTGAAAAACACCGATTTTCGTGACCCTTGACCTTTTACGACTTTTAGAACGCCAAAATGTTTAAAAAAACCCACAATAAGTGGGAAGTGTGAATGAAGCTGTTCGCAGCTTATTAACTCAAATTCCGAGGTGAAACCTTAAGGAGACTGGACTATAAAGCCGCCTCTGTATTTTAGATTATAACCCAGTATATCCTTGAACGAAAAAAAACACGATACGCAAACATTTCGTCAAATATCCAATTGCATATCAACCACATGCATTCATCAATACGCTTATAATATATTAAATTCGTGGACGTAATACTTCGTTACAACGTTTGATCGTTGATTTGGTGATTGATGGGCGGCGATGGCGAAATGTATTATTTCCTTTTCATTAACTTTCAAAGTGAGCCTGCAGATTCTGTTGCAACTTCCGACGTTCCACTCGTATGGTTCTAGCCATCCACAAGGACAGAATAATGCACAGGATCTGAAATAAAGACATACAACGCTTTCAAAGGCGAATCGGACAAGAATAAAGTTTTAACATTTGAAATCTGTTGGGTTTGCAGCTAAAGGAGGAAGATAAAAGCTTCGCAAATGTCACGTTAATTATGTCGAGTTAATATATTGAGGAGGGTGTGGTTAGCGTCTTCGGCTGCGATCGTTGAAGTAAAGCAACTTTCGCAGTGGTCGGTCGTTGGATGGGTGACCAAAAATCCTCTATTTCGAGTTCCTCCGTGCTTCTGAAGGCACGTTGAGCTATTGGATGCGGCTGCATATGCAGTCGCACCCGCCAATCCGCACTGGGCCCGCGTGGTTGGTCATGGCCCTATCTCACTATTCCATCCATAGGGAAGGCCTGTGTCCCAGCAGTGGGGACATTAATAGGCTGATGATGATGATTAATATATATATATATATATATATTGTATGTTAAGAGAGAAGGCGGACAGTGTTTTTCCATACACATGTCTCGACTGATTCCTCCTTGATTTTTATCACTAAAGAATACATAAAATATAATAAATATATAAATATTATTATTATTATAATTTTCCTTTTTTCGATTAATGATTTTCAAAGAAACTAAAATAAACAAATTTTTTGTCACCACTATGGACGTCTTTTGTAGCGATTCAATAAGCATTTACAAAAGAAGCAAAACAAAGAGGCAACAGTATCGAGGGTCTAGTATAACTACTTATTATTCTATGGGTAAAATTTCTTTTACATGTATCTTATTTTCGAGGAGGAAATCGTCGAGAGACAAACCTCGAACTTTGCAATTATAAACAAATTTTCAGCATTAGCTACTGTTGTCTCTATCGCACGGTATTTGCCAATGCACGACAGCAATAGTTTTTTCAAATACCTATTTCTCAAATCTCTCTCAGCTCGCGGCCGCTCTTAAAAGGGTGACAAACAAATTAAATAAAACAAGTCTGCACTGATTTTATTTATTTATTGACGTTTCGCACTCTTTGCAGAAATGCGTCGTCAGAATAATGTTTTTTTATTTAGTTTGTCGAGCTACCTTCGAAAGACTATTATTAAGCGTTCTGAAGACTTTTTAGCTAAAAGGCAATTGGTCAACCTGGTCAATTTCCTATATTACATATTTTGTTGTATGTTTATTAATCTTTAACTAAATCACCTACCACCTTTCATATTTAAATTATAATACATATATTCTAGGTAAAACTTTTAAAAATATCTATAGTTTTATTTGGAAGATCTAAAATAGCTGTTAAATCGATATGTGGATGTTTTAGAAAAAATATTATATGGTTATAAAATCTTCTCCTGATTTCTTAGTTACTAACTGGCGCCTAGGACTCCGTCCGCATTTCTTTTACTTTTTTGACATTCTCAGAAGACCATAAAAAATTCTCCGGAATATAAAGTATCCTATGTCTCAATTCAGGTCATAACCAATACGCGTACCAAATTTCATCCAAATCCGTTCCGTAGTTTTGCATGAACGAGTAACGAACACACAAACATAAAAACTTTCACACTTATGATATTAGTAGGATAATTAACATAATAAAAATCATCCAAATCAATCAACCCATTTTTAAGTGATGCTTCATCTCATGCAGATGTCAACTGGTAACCTACTATCATAAAAATAAAAAAAACAGACCTCAATCAACGCGAATATGACGCCCGTAGTTATGAAAATGTTCCCCTTAAAAGACTTCTTTCTGCGCAACGCCTCGTAGCAGCCGAGCTCGTAGAAAGACTTGTCAGCCAAGCAGGTTGCATGGATCTGCCGCCTGGCGCCACCATCGCGGAGAGCGTAGGCGCGCGCGCAGCAAGAGGGCGGGATCTCACGCTGAAGGATCAAGTAGTCCTGGGGGCCGTCCACGCCGCAACATTGGTTCTAAAGATAAAATAATGCTTGTTTTAGAGAACAAGAGAGACTCCACGGAGTTGGGGGTTGGCTCAGAGTATGCAATGGCGCAAATTATATTTTTGGTATATTTTTGTGGTCTCTAAAATACTGCTGCTTCTATTCTATATGGGTGAATCCTTTGCCTTGCATTGCCCATATATCCAGAGTTATATGGGCAATGCAAGGCAAAGGATTCACCCATATTCACATCTTGTCCTGATTCGAAATCAAATGGAGTTGTGTGGGTTTACTTACTCTCTTGACCAAAGTTATAGAACGAAAGCACCTTGTAGGTGCTCGCATTCGCATTATTAAAATCATTTTCCGCTTGCAGGTTCTAGTACTCATATGTCGTCCACTATGGGGCTGGGTGGAAGGCAGTGTAGGTGGGGCTGTAGCCTAGGGCTTCCATAAGAGTGTGGCCCCCACAACAGAGATAAACACAACCAAGGTGCAATCATAATTGACCCGGCCCAGATTAAGGGGCCTCCATACCTCTTAATCCGGCCTTGCTCGTCCTCAACCGTAACGTTATTGAAGAATTGCCCTCGTAACTCGCTTCTACTACCACCCAGTGTCTGATCCCCGCCCCCTCTTACCCACGGCTACAAGGTCTATCGAAACCACGAACATAAATAACTTTCCTCAGTTTGCAACAGCTCTTGTACACCTTGTGACTCGATATCTCGTCTTGAACCGTCATATTCCTGAAGAACTGTCCTCGAAGCTTGCTGCCATCTCAAGACCAACCCAGGCACTGAGCGCCGCCCCACCCACGCCCATAACTTCCTTTATCGAGACAAGGAATACATATTTCGTTGGGAACCTCCGTACCTCTAATTCTATAAGAAAAAATCCTGACGGATGGTCCTCGTAACTTGCTACCACCTCCCACCCACTTACTATTTACCGCCTCCCCTTCTCACCCAGTCACCATGATCTCTATCGAAACCACGAATATAAATAACATATTTTATCTACCTCAGCTTGAAGCAGATCCCAGTACGCCTTGTGGCTCGATATCTCGTCTTCAACCGTAACGTTCCTGAAGAACTGTCCTCGAAGCTCACTCCCACCTCCAACCCAGGCACTGAGCACCGCCCCACCCACGCCCACGACCACCTCTATCGAGACCAGGAATATGAAGAAGCACGCGTGCTGTAAAAAAACACTCTTGTTTAAGGTTTAGATTTATTCTTCCTTGACCTGACTCATATAGATATGGACCAAGGACGTGATATAGACTACGGAACGTAATTAAACAATATCATAGATATATCAACGAGCTCACAGAACCGGGCGGGAGTAAGTTACGTCCAAACAATGGGTTAAACTGTAATCATTCGCTGTCTTTGTGATTGGACCAGTAACATTATACACCAGATGATTTACAGAATATTTCAGAATTGTATTCGAAATCTTCAAAATGGCAATGACTGTCAGTTTTAGAGCTCATAGTGGAGTTCAACCAGAACATCAAACTTAATTAAGTTCTCGATTTCTGCCTAAGAGACAATGCAGCTTTTGATTTTCTTAGCACATTAAGTATGGTGTTCCCTAAGGATGCCTATGCAGCTGAGCACGACGGTTACTACCAAGCACAGTCCCAAGGTCAGCAGGCGTTAATAAAGGCAATTTCATAGACTTACCACATAGAGTATGCGGACGTGTTCCCTCAGGGCTCCTATGCAGCCAAGCACCGCTGTCACCACCAAGCACAGCCCGAGGGTCAGCAGGAATGACAGCACGCCGCGCGACAACGCCGACTGGTCCGGTCGCGACTTGTGTTCTCGCATGTTCATCACGCATACAGCCATTAAGATCAGACCGAACAGCTAAACGAAAAAAAAAAATGGAATGATAAGAGGTATTTATACTGTAGGAGCCATTAATACAATACTTTGGGTGTAACCGAACAGCTTAAAGAAAAATAAAGGAATGAAATGAGATATTATACTGTATGTGCCATTATTAAGACAGCCGACAGGGGTAAATATGTTCGTTCTATCTTGACCTTGCAAAAAACTGAAGCGAAATACCTCTATTTTGTACTTCGTTCTTCTGTGGTAAGTTCACCAGATCGCTACGAGTCAAGGAATGAATCCATGAGTTAGGGAACATAGGTATCATGAATAACAATTACTGTCGGCTCTATATGGCAGACCGTTGTGATCACCACGACGCTTTAGGATAAAGAAATGGTTCTCTTGTGTACTGTACTTTCATAGATACGTTAAATTTGCTTTGCCCGAGTTCAGTACTTTCACTAATACGTTTAGTATAAATTAACTTTTGTTCAGTCAAAAACACATAAAATTACCGTAAATTATCAATAGTTTTAACCGCGCGAGTATATTAGATATTATTATTATCATCTTTTTGCGGACTGCTGAAAACAAATGATAAAGAAATTGTAAATATGTAAATAATAATAAATAAAAAAATATTTTCTACATTTGTTTCTCGCCAAATGATAACAGAAATTTTTTATCGAAAACATATTTGAAGTAATTTTGCAACCTTCGGCAAAAACCTTATCCAGTAAAGATAATATAAATTATCCATTTAAAACAAAACGCATAATTGAAATGTTGAACGTTTCCCGCCATAAGAAATTTCAAGAATCTCAGCGACTTTGCTCGTGTCGTCAAAAAAGTTCCGATATTACTCCGAGACGGTAAACCTCGTAGTACCAATCGATATAATATCATAATAAAAAAATCTTTAATCGCCTTCATACTTTAACGATCGCGTCGAAAGCCTTAAATAAATTACTCACTATGCATATTATATTAAAGAGGGTAAGGAAAAACTTCATGCAGCGTATACTCCTGGGTTTCATTATGGGTCACTCGACGTTCCGCCGGCTAGTTTAACCACAGGTCCGCTTGTAGAGAGCTGGACGATCACAATGAGGGCTTATGGGTTTGTATCGATCATTGCATTTGACGAGCCGATGGTGTTATTAAGGCGCTCATCCGAACAAGCGAGTAGCGGAAAGCGATTTAGTTATTCCTTATTCAAAATTTAAATATAACATAAAGGGACACAGCTTTGACATTATATGAACAAATGCCTTTTGTTCTGTCGTCTTTTGTACTAAAGGACTTATACCTATCTTTTTTATCTTGAAAAGTCGTGGCGCTCGCCACCGGGAGTTGCAACGAGGATAAGTCTCTGCTTCCCATTCTTTTCATCCAGGAAATGGCTACCTTTTTTCATGTCTGGAAAAGGCACAACGCCTCTTTCGCCCACCGGAAATAGCAAGACGAGGGTATCTGTGGACTCCTCCCTACCTATTTCACCCTGCTCAAAGGGCTCGATGAAATGAGCAGCGGAAAAGGCTGTCCACCCACTACAACAACAAACAATGTTCCTGCAGACTTATTGCTCTACAACGGTTTCAAATAAGGCGCTCTTTGCATTGAAGTACAATTTCACTATAAATTCCTGAATTTTTCTCCAAAAATTAAATTAAAATGTTAGGTAAAAACGTAACAGTGAAAGTTAGTTTTATAGCACAGACCATAGTGTCACTATATAAAGAACAGCCTTTATTTAGACATTAGTGTCACTTTAATTATTTCACACTCTTAAAACTCACATTACAACACACTATCAACCTCACATACCCTGTTTGATAACTTGTTCCAGCATTTTCATTGGTGCATTTTGACCATCAAACTGCTAATGTATATATATAAATTTCCGCTTCGCTCGTCAACGTACCAGCGATATTAGGAACGTAAGGACGCATGTGTCCATTTCCCCACACTCCAGGGTCTGTCTTCGTCTTTGTTTCTACCAGTCCAATTATAACATCGGTCGATAGAATGTGCTTCACCACTTCCGAATAATATCCTTAATTGATTTGCCATAGGTACTTTGATTTCAGACGCCGAAGAGTTCATTCATTTTATAAACACTAACCGGTGAGGTAATATCACACATGATGATAAAAGAAAACTTTCTGCTTTATCGGTTCCATATGATTAAAATGTATTTTTTATTTATTTTGAATCATAACTTCATGCAATGAATTATTTATCTTAATATTCTTTAAAACCACGTTTTAAAGAATACTACATTATATTTAAATAATGAGTAATAATTCATGTAACACATGAATTACCTTTTTATTATTATATTGGTCATTTAGATAAATTGGAAAGCTGTATGATAAAATGAAATTGTGAAAAGTGATTGTATAACTTAACGGATTTTTCCATTGAATTGGTGCTTCTTTCTAGAAACTTAACAAAAGAACACAATAAAATAACAAAACGATTTGGTGATAAGGTTTCAAGGCTCCTCGGGGCCTGGATACCGGTGAACAAGGAGATCATGCTTGCCAATTCTCTGCCTAAACTACTGTTCTATATCGCACCTTTAGAATTGAAGTGACCTAATCCGAAATTCTTTATTTTTTGGTAAACGTTAAAAATGTGATGGACAGGTTGGCCATTTTTTGTTTTTCTATTATAATGCTTTAAGTTGTACGTTTATTATCATATTTTTTATTGTTAATAGTAGGATAGGAATTGTTTTCACGATTGTTTACTATAAACCAGTCTGTATAACTAATTAGAACCTTTGTTAAGATTAATCTTCAAAAAAAACATGTCACTTATGTTCCGAAAATAGTTTATTAAAATTGACTTATTTCACTTTGTGCCCATTTTTTACTTAACAACATAAAACAAAAACGTAACTACTTAATATAGAGGCGATTTATTTCTAATGTTATATATTTGATAGATGACCAATTTTGTAATATGCTAGTTTAATATTTAATGACTTTCTTAATTAAAGGAAAATGAAATAAATGTCCACGCAACACTGAATGGGGTACTTCAAAACTGAGGGAGGCGCGGTATGCGTGTCATTTAAAAGAGGCTTCTTCTGGCCTAAAAGAGCCTGTTTATTATTAATAAACTAATAAAATACATGTTTTTATGTCGATTCACGTTTCAATGTCATTTTGCTATTTTTTTTTATTTAAGTCACTTCAATTCTAAAGGTGCGATATGGTAACTCGTAATATCCGGTGGTATGAGCTAACTAATTTAATGTGCTACACCTTTAAAAGTACGCATACTGGCCACAAACACCAAAAATAAAGATGTGGTTTTTGGTTCTACTACACCAATGGTCAAGAGATGGCGCTGTAGTCTCCTGAATCGCGCTTTGGTTCCGTTGTTCCAGATTAATAAATACTTTTGATAGGCCTTCACAATGCAGTCGTTAGCACCCACTAAATAGAGATTCTATTTCTATTTTGTTGGTAGATTTTCTTAATGTGCGGTAAACACAAAAGTAACCAACTTCATGCTGTTAAAATTTTGTGTTACAGTGAAGCGCGCGCATCCTAAAATTTCACTCTCATCATTTTTTCATAACGCGCCTAAAGAAGTATAACTTCAAAAAACAGAACTACAGTGATCATTTTGCTATGCACTAACAAAACAATTGAACGAAGTTACATACAGCAGTCAACAGATGGTCGGTCTAATTTTAAAATGGAACTCTTTCTGCGCCTTTATAAATCAATAATGCATTGCAAACAGGTCGAGAAATGGAGAGTAGTACCTAACTATGTCGTTTGTCTGACGTTATAATAATTTCATTAGTGACCTACTTGCAGCTTAAACTCCTGGCATATAATTTTATTAAAACCCTCTTTATTGAGCAAAGTGTACACTGATGATTTTAAAGCACGTGAAATAAAGCCATCGATCTGGTTTTACGTGAGGCATGTTGCATGCTTATACAGAATTTCATACCACAATATCGGATGATGAGAGTGAAATTTTTAGATGCGCGCGCATCACTGTAACCTTAAAGTAACAGCATGAAGTTGGCCGCGGGCGCGTTATGAAAAAATCATGTGAGTGAAATTTCGAGATGCGCGCGCGTCACTGTAACGTAATAGTTATTTATTATACAAGAGTGGAAAGTTCCTTTTTAACCGCGTGCTCGATTTGGATGACCGAGCAAGCGAAGGATTCTAAAGTTGAATCACGAGCGCAGCGAGTGATTCTAAATTAGAATCCTGAGCGTCAGCGAGGGAAACAAACGAGCACAAGGTGAAAAATCTTTCCACTCGAGTGCAATACGTAACTTTTCATCCCACCTCAGCGAGGAAATGACAAAATGAAAAAGAAAACAATTTATAATGACAAAATATTTTTATTTCAATTAAAACACATTAAGATAATCTATAAATTGAAGAAAATAATAAGAAGTAGAAAATAATTAAGAAATATTAAATGTAACGTTGCTACAGTTACTTATGTTAAGTTTAATATTTTTGTTAGGTAATGTTATGTTGGTGTTTGTGAATTGTGCGCTGTTTTGTGGTAAACTACTCGTATCAGTAATTTTAAATAGTTGTGCCGATTCATTGGATTCTATTGGCGTAAATGTTGGCGAGAGAGGGCTATTGTTTCCAATCTTATGGGGGCTCATTTTAGATGTAGAAGGGCGAGACCAAGAATCTGACAGAGGTTCTTTCAGCGTTATGGCCTCCACGATACTATTACAAATTTTTGATTTACTTTGGATTGAATCCTCTATGTATCCCTCTACAACCGAATTAGACTTCCAGCCTCCATGGCGCTTAAGCGATAGAAGATCAGCCCCTGATTCGGCCAAAAGTGTGGCTGAGGTTCTTCTAAAACAGTGACCGGTGTATAACGGGGGTTCTAAAAGTCCGAGAAAAGTTGCTATTTCTCGTGGAATACTGCCAATTTTATTCTGACCCATAGGTTGTCGGATACACTTTCCGTTGCGATATTGTAGAAAAAATCGTTCAATTGGGGTGTTAGAAGGACGTAAAGCTTGATATTTCTGAACAATGTTTACATATTCCTTGCGAATAACGAAGTTGCGGTCTTTTTTTGTCTTGGTATTTAGTACATTAATTAATAGCAATTCATCAGAATTATGAGAATATTTTGATACGTTATTGACATTAAGTAGTGTAAGTTCATTTGTTCGACATGCTCCGGTTATACCAATAATAAGAACAACCTGTAACAAAAGAAGTATTTATAATCGTAAATAAATTAATCAAATTAAAAATATTGTAAGTACTATGTACAATTTTATCAACAACAAAAAATTACACGTATTGACTTACTTTTGCCGCTAAATATACGGAATCAGGTGCTTCATTAATAAACTTTGCAATTTCAGATGCTGTGAAAACCTTCGATTTTTTTGGTTTATAACCAGATGAGGCTCTTTTTAAAAATGCCACTAATTTATGATAGGTGTCGATATGAACGTCTTTCTTCATCTTAATTGTTAATTTTAGCATTGAATACGTACTCCATAGCGTGCTTGCTTTCTTGGTCTCAGATAATTCTATAAAATATGCCAGCAAAACGTTTTCGGAGAAAGTTTTTGCTCCTTTAGCTAGTCGCCACATGTTAAATATATCGTACTGTTTCAAATACTTCTCTCGTGATTGCTGAGGGAGAAGGCTCATTTGCGCATTATTAACTGTTTCAGTTAACTCAGTTGGCGTTAGATAAACTTCATCGTCGCTAATGTCACTCATTTTAGTTGATTTTTTTGTACAGTTTTTAGGTTATGTTAATTATATTAAGCAATAAAACGTGAAAAACTAGAATGGCGCGAAGCACGCAAATAAAACAAAGAAACCAAGAAGGTTCCAAATTTAAATTTTTTCACAATTTAAAAAGTTCTAATCATAAATTTGGCACCATAGAGGTTACATTAAATAGGTTTAATGACGTTTTGAATTTACAATTATATTGAGTACTCATTATATGTGATGTTCTAAATTCAAATCTACTTTGCCGCTCAAGCGAATAAAATAGAATTTTCCAGCCAGATTTCGAAGCGCAAAATTACACTTTCCGAGGTGGTGGGATGAAAAGGTACTTTGAACGATCCACGGAGCTCCATAAGATGATCGCGTTGTCAAAAACAATGTTGGCACGCTCGTCGCCTCTGATCACTGTTTTCATATTTATAATATTTATCCACATGTTTCTAGTTTCTATATAGACACAACGTGTTTTAGTTACTTACAAGTGCTAATTTCATATGGACTAATAACTTAAATTCAGTAGTGATTTTAATTGAATATTTTGAATATTTATTTAATTTTTCAAATTAAAACTGAACTTAATTGACTGTGTTAACTATCCTTTTCCAGTCCTTTTATTATTTTATTGTAATTATTAATTATTTGCATGCAATTAAAAAATATTTTTAATGATGCTAAAGAAGTATAACTTCTCACGCACGTACATAAGTTACACGCATCCATTTTTTTTTATATAGCCAGGTATGCAAATGACTACCCCACCTGATGCTAAGTGGTGATGAAGTCCAAACGCGAAGATAGCTGGTACAGCAGTTATAAACTGCCACACCAACCATCCTCACCTTTCCGGCCTGCAGAAATGCTTCTTCACGCCTCTCTTAAACGACCCCAGATTGTAGAAAGAAGGGAACATGTGCGCGGGCAAAGAATTTCACTTACGAATAGTAGTACTTACCTATATTACTTATTACATAATTCTTTATTACTTTTAACACACAAACACTCACGCTATAGAATCAGAAATATGGAAATCTAATCTAATTAAGGTAGGGCGTAGTCGATATACTTATATATGTACAATATATGTATGATTTTATTTATTTTTTTAAGCATTTAACTGCTACAATGCGAAGAGATGACGCTGCCTTGCAGCTTAAGGCTACAATATAAGTATTCAATCCGTTACCCTAGTATCTTATAACACAAGCCTTAGAGTGTTTACTTTGGGGCTTGGCGAATTGGTGTGTGGTTAAACAAAAAAAAAGATTTTCCTCTCGACTTGAAGAACTCGTCTGAGAAATTAACCTCCGCGCCTTATGCCCGGGATACTCGAAGAAAGTTTTTCTCTACTAAACTGTACTGGCTTGGAACATGCTTAAACTGTCCTGTTTACGTGAGGCGTGTTTATTTTAAGCTAGTACGAATGCAGTGACTAGAGATGCAACATCATTCTAAAAAACATCGATGTTCAAAAATAACGTTGATAAGAGCGATATATCGATGTTTTGCCGATGTTTTTTTTTTATTTTTAATAGGATGCTTCATTGAATTAATTAACAATACCGCTCTATACGGTATAAGTATGCTCGATGATTAAAGGTTAATAAAAATAAGAAATACATTATGGTAAATTAAATTATAACAAAATGATTCTCATCATTCAATTAGGCAAATAAACCAAACTGTCAGTTCAGAAGCTGCTTTGATCAACAAGCTATTCGTTTTGTCATTTTTTTTTCCTTAAAATTATACGCTCAATTTTCACGTACCCGCCAACAAAAACCTAAAGAAAAAACAAACCATCAAAACCTAACTACTTTATAAATTAATTCAACAAGTACATTACTCACCCATTCAAGAAATCTAAAATGTGTATAGGTATGTAGTCAAGGAATCAAATTATATTTAATCAAATTCATCTACGCTTTACGTGTCAGCACAACAATGCAATGCAGGCTAACGTCACAGTGATTCCGAAAATCCGAACAGAAAAGAACGATGTCGATGTTTGTAAATGTAGTGAACGATGTATCGACGATATATCGCTCATCAAAACATCGATATTATCTCGATATCTCGATGTTTTACTAACATCGATGTATCGTTTGCATCCCTAGCAGTGACTGAGTTGACCATATGTCCAAAATAAATATAACATGAATATTTCCAACACTCACACCAATTAGCCTAGCCCTAAAGTAAGCTGTATAAAGCTTGTATTATGGGATACTAGGATGATGGATAGAATACATATACTGTACATACATAAATATTTTTATTTAGAAATACATATCAAACATCCATGACTGGAATATCATCACACAAACATCTGATCCCACCGGGATTCGAATCCGGGAGAGCTCTCGAGTGGGCGACACCATGAAACCCGGCGTACAAACCACCCGGCCACGGAGGTCGTCAAATGAATATGACAATTTTACCTTGTTATTTTGTTTTAGTGGTTACTTACTAATTTATTAATGAAGCTAAATATTAAGATGTGTGGAAACCAAGGCCGATCAGACAGACCCCAAAAGAAGCACCATTGTGTATGAAATAATATATACTGTAATATACACAAATAAATTTGTTATTTTATTGTATGGTGTTGAATTTTATTAAAAAAACCTCCAGACCAAAATTCATATTACAGCTGTTAGAAAAAAAACGAAACTTTTGGTTCCTGCTGACCATCCAACTGAAAACTAGTTGCGGCCACATAGTAAAATCAGTGGTGAGGGGTGCTACTAACCTAATAAATAAAACTCCATCGAACTAAAAACTGTACTGGCTTGCAAACTAGCTTAGAAATGAAGCTAGTTTTGTCTACACGAATCCAGACATACAGGCATGCTAAGTCACTGCCACCAGTTCGCTTAAGCTCAAGGAACTAGCCTCGTGTATCCCGGCCATTACAGTAGACCACAGTAAAATAACAAAAGATACCTTTTGGTGGTGTTGTGTTTCTGTCGGTGAGTAAGGTTCCAGAGCTCCAAGGGGGGGGGGGGGATTGGGTCAGGGTAGGCAACGGCGAAAAGGCAACTGAGGGTCGAACCTAGGCCAGTGCGGATGATTGACAACCCGTATATTGCACAGCTCCATCGTTTAGAGAGAAGTCTAATGCGCTTAAGCTTCTCCCGTTAGAGAGGGGGGAGCAGTGGCCCGGTGACTCGGAAACAGTTTCTGGGGTACCACTCGTAACGGAGGGTTTGTCGTGGGTCTTTAGTGAGTAGATCTCTGGAGACTCATCGAACGAAGTTCCGTTGGACGCATCCTCGGAGGAGAGTCCTATTGCTGTATGCTTCATGTATTTTCCCCACGGTATATAAAAAAGTGAGGAGCTCGATGGCGCAGGTGGCTAGCGCGTTCGGCTGCGATCGTTGAAGTTAAGCAACTTTCGCAGTGGTCTATCATTGGATGGGTGACCAAAAATTTACTATCTCGAGCTCCTCCGTGCTTCGGAAGGCACGTTAAGCCGTTGGTCCCGGCTGCATTTGCAGTCGTTAGCACCCACCAATCCGCACTGGGCCCGCGTGGTGGGTCATGGCCCAATCTCCCTATTCCATCCATAGGGAAGGCCTGTGCCCCAGCAGTGGGGACATTAATAGGCTGATGATGATGATGATGATGATATAAAAAAAATATATTTTTAATATCGCAAGCATCTATATAGGCTATGGCAGCCGCTTACCATCAGGAGGGTCATAATGCTCGTTTGCCAGTCATTTAACATTTAAAAAAAAGAGTGTGCTTATGACCACACGACTGAAGTGAAACTTTTTTAGCTCCATCTGTATGTATACATGTATGTACATACATATTTCATTTACTAGCTATAAGAGAAAGAGAGAAAGAAAATATGCGCGCGCTCTGCTTTCGCTTGCTTATATCCCCCAATCAACTCCCGATCGCCTCGCCCGAACACACTATTCGTTACGCGTAACGCATTCGCCAGCTTACCCCCCAATTCAAGCGTGTGTAAAGAAGTTTCACTTCAAAAAAATCTCAAAAACTAGTGTTTTTACATTATACTCGTACCTGTATCGAGTAATTTCTTTCATCCAAATTTCTCAGTGCTCTTCTAATAGTAGAGTAAGACCAAAATAAATAAAACTAGCAAACTAGTGAACCAAATGTTCACCAAAAAAAAATTAATTAATTGAGAACTTCGGAGATTTTGTGTGGTTTCGTTTGAAATAGAAATCACGTGATTTCTCGAAAACCGGAAGTGCTACGTTACTCACATCCGGTTTGTAGTCTTATCAGACTATTCTCAACTTATAACTTAAACATTCTCTTTATCTATCTCTTACGGTTTGGCCGCTGAAACAGCACCACGGACGGACGGACGGACTTGTCTAATAGATAAGAGATTCCAAATCAGCGTAGTTTTTGTAACCGAAAATACTTATTATGATAAATTCAGATTTTTATTTAAATTCCATTCTCAAATAGGGAAAGGTCCAAAAAAGCAGGAGTTCCTTAATAAAAAAAAGGGTAAATGGTTTTATTACAATTATATTTTTAGATATCACTTCCACTCCCCTTCTCAACACACATATAATGCGATTCAACTAAGAATAGGACCGACTGGGCGCCATATTGTGATGTCATAGCTGTCAATTCAAACCAAATAGGTAGAGTGAGCAAAAAAAAAAGTTTTTATTTAATAAAACTTATTTACTAAGATTAAGTGAGAAAAAGCATAAAATTTTTCTATTAACATTTATTTACTAAGATTGAGAAAAAAACCTCCCCGAATTTATTAATATTTATTTATTAAGACTGTGAGCAAAAACATTAATCAGAATCTAGCTCTTCTATTCCGCTCAACTCTATACCGCCGGAGCAGTTATGAATAATCATGCACTATTACTAGGTCACATACGAACATGCATCCTTTATGTAAAAAAAAGTTTGTAATCGAATTTCAGAACTACTACGAATACGAACAAAAAATTAAAAATATTATTATGTTATGTGATGATTTTGTTTCTTTTAATAAAGAGTTTGGTACATTTCTATTGCAAACAACAAATATAAATAAAGTATTAGGTAAGTACGTTACAAAAAAAAATATGCAAAAGAACAAAATTTTTTTTTCTCTGTTGATGAAATATGATGATAACTTAATATTTGACAGTTTGCTTGTAAGCTGTCACGGTATTCTTGATGTTGCTAGTCATCCACATTGCTAACAGCATGCCTGCACCCTGTTGTACAAGATAGATTTTAATTAGATTTTTTCTATGACCCATTATCAGCCTATTAATGTCTCCACTGCTGGGGCACAGGCCTTCCCTATGGATGGAATATGGAGATTAGGCCATGACCCACCACGCGGGCCCAGTGCGGATTGGCGGGTGCTAACGACTGCAGATGCAGCCGGGACCAACGACTTAACGTGCCTTTCGAAGCACGGAGGAGCTCAAGATAGTAATTTTTTTGGTCACCCATCTAATGACCGACCACTGCGAAAGTTGTTTAACTTCAACGATCGCAGCCGAAAGCGCTAACCACCTGCGCCATCGAGCTCCTTGATCGTTCTATGACCCATTGCAGTGAAATTCGATAATAAAAGTACTAATGTTCATATATTTACTTACACACGACTGACCTTTTTTTTTATCAGTAAAAAAAGCAATTTTAACTATCGCATAATTAGTAAAATCTACAACAATTATTATTTAAGCTATACAAAGCTTGTGTATTGGACTACTAGTATCATATTTAAAATTTCTTTATTCGTTCGATTGGAAGCATAATACAACTCTTTTGAATCATATCCATATATTGCGTAGTATCTGATATCGATTATTTAAATTTAAATAAACAACATTTAAATAATAAATTGGACGATATAAATAAACAACCGGTATTCGAACCCTAAACCTTTGGAGTAGAGAGCAGAGCAGAGCACTGCTGTTGAACTGATGTTGAGTAATAAATACCTAATCTATAATAGGCTGCGCAGACGAGGAACTTTTGTCGCCGGAGGACAAAAATCGTGATAAAAAATGTCCGCCGACAATTTCTCTCGGACTCAACGTAAAAGACGTGCAATCATTTGTTGTCTGTCTGTAAATATTTGGAAGCGCATGAATATTCTCATGTTTAGGTACGTTGTTTTGGAATTAACATAAAGTTTAAGAGAAAGAGAGGACTTTTTGAAAGAGAATATTGGGTCCATGAGACAAATGTCCCTCGTCTGCGCAGGCCATAAATGTTATCTTTATAATCTGTATTACTAGTACGAATAAAGATATGTAAGTATTTCTTCATAATCCTGCAGCCTTGGATTGCTTGGATTTACAGCTAAGTTACAAAACAATAAAGGAATATTTAAATAAATTTATTTTATAAACGTAATGCAATTTGTACGTGCAACATAGCATAGGGTCAACTGATAAAGCTTTGACACTTTATAATTAAATATAATAACCTACATTTTTATCGATGAATATTGAAGTAATTAACAATTAACATGTTTTGTTAAAAACAGGGGGTCTTATATAAAGAGATTAGTACATGTTTCATTTTTCAATCTTAAAATAACAAGATTATTTAATGCAAAAAAGGAACATAATAATGTAAACTTCTAAATGACATTGATAGAATATTTTGTTTGTTGAGTTTCGTATGGAATCTTAGATTAAAACAAAAAGGGTAGATACGGTACGCTCATACTTGCATCAAACAAAAACTGATCCCACGGCAGCGAGAACGGGACGGCGAGATCCGCGTCACTGCATTACCGACCCGAACGAAACAGCACGTTAAGTTTCAACGGCAGTGCAAACGAGACGGCGAAATCCGCGTCACTGCACTACCGACCAATCACGCGACCAGTACTCGACGTCACTACCGAATAAGATTCAAAACAAACAGCAATTTTTATGAAAAAATATATTTTATAGTACTTACGAATGAAAAGTGATGCCATGGGTTTTATTTTTAGTTCTTGAGCAATTTGAGCACTTTTTAAAAACACACTTAGGCATTGTTTTATCATATAAACACAAAATATTGGCAATATTTCTTTTTGGCGTTCACATGTACGTCGTTTGCATGTCAAGTTGTGACTAAAGCGATTAGGGTCGTGGACCACAATTCATGCGGATCACTTTTGTGAGGCTAGTGCCGTATCTACCCTTTTTGTTTTAATCTAAGTATGGAATGCGTAAAACAGACAACTTGGATGAAAACACATTACATATTTTAGATGTTACAAACATTATCTTCTCAACATATATAAATTCCGCGTCACGTTTTTTGTCCGGGATGCACTCCTAAACTATTTAACCGATTATAATCTTTGCACACCGTGTGCAGTTTGATCCAACTTGAAAGATTACTTCTCAATTACATCTCAATTGACCAGTGCGTCCTCCCAGTTATGACATACGGCGCCGAGACGTGGACACTCACGGCTGGACGAGTCCACCAGTTAAAAGTCGCTCAAAGAGCTATGGAAAGGGCTATGCTCGGAGTATCCCTGAAGGACCGCATCAGAAATGATGTAATCCGGCAGAGAACCAAAGTCACCGACATAGCCCACCGAATTAGCAAACTGATGTGGCAGTGGGCTGGTCACATGAGCCGCAGAACTGATGGCCGTTGGAGCCGGAAAGTTCTTGAGTGGAGACCACGACTCGGTAAACGTAGTGTAGGACGCCCTGAGACAAGATGGGATGATGATATTCGTAGGCTGGCTGGAGTGGGCTGGATGAGAGTAGCACAAAATCGGGAGCAGTGGCGTGCATTAGGGGAGACCTATGTCCAGCAGTGGACGAACATGAGTTGATGATGACATCTCAATTTGTAGTCGCAATATTATTTTATTGCAAATTATTAGTTTTGGGCGGTACGAAGTTCGCCGAGTCAGCTAGTTAAAATTATCGTGCGTACGCGCTGTCTTTTTGAGGCGTTGTTCTGAGCTAATAAGCTCGTAGTATATCGCATAGTTTGAGGAAACCGATGGCGCGGGTGGTAAGCTCGTTCGGCTGCGATCGTTGAAGTTAAGTAACTTTCGCAGTGGTCGGTCATTGGATGGGTGACCAGAAATTTTCTATCACGAGCTCTCCGTGCTTCGGAAGGCACATTAAGCCGTTGGTCCCGGCTGCATCTGCAGTCGTTAGCACCTATCAATCCGCACTGTGCCCGCGTGGTGGGTCATGGCCCAATCTCCTTAATCCATCTCTCATAGTTTACATAATCGCCTAATTAAATGTGCGAGTTTCTGCGACTCACCTGCATCCAGAAGCAAAAGATGGCAGCACCAAGCAAGCACTCTGCATCAGCCTGGAGGAAGTACAGGATCTCATCCTCACACCCTTCACTGAAGTAGCTCGCTGAACTTAAAATAAACAAGGTTTGTTATTATTTATATTTTAATTTTTTAAGCATATTTTTATTGATTATATTAAAATAAAAGCTCGCTGAACTTAAAATAAACAAGGTTTGTTATTATTTATATTTTATTATTTTTAAGCATATTTTTATTGATTATATTTAAATAATTCATTATAAGGTTAAGTATATAACAGTGTCTCATAAACCAGTATTGGTTTTCCCGGACACTGCCGTTTACCATCGAGACCCGCAGGTACGACTACTCAATCAACAAAATTAAATTAAACCATTCATTCATCAGACATTAATCGGTAAGGTAAAGTTATTAATATTTTTTTTATATATACCGCACCGCCATTTAATAGCTAAATGTTTAAATGTAAAGAATTTTTATTAGGAAAAAATTCACGCGGACCAGCAACATAATTGAATAAGTTTCCGATTCGCGGGCTCTTCTTGACTAACTGGCAGCAGAAATTTTCGATACCATAGACAATTTTCGTTTTCTTAGCGAAAAAACAATTCGCCGCGACGATGACGACAAGAGTGTTACCTTGGCTAGGAAATTGTTTTCGTTATCTCAGAAACGATGACGAATTTAGATATCGTTTCGCTACGAAACGATGTAACTTTGTCTAAGCCCCCAGGCTGCAGACGGGACTCGAACAACCTACCCTCCGCAAAAAAAATTGTAATTGCTAATTCTTCTTTCGAATGTTTAATATAATATAATATACACAATTATACACTCATAATGAGAAGAGATGGGGCAGCCTAAGAAATGCTAGAAAAATTTCGACACGGACAATTAGGGCCGCGGTAGCACAATGGTCAGTGCATCCGCCCGGATAACGGAGGATGCAGGTTCGAGTCCCGTCTGCTGTCTGGTCCACGTGGAATGTTTATTATAATTATATTTAAAGCATTTAACTGGCAAGCTTTAAACATCTAGGTTTAAATCTCAAGGAAATATTTCTAGAAAAAAATCACTCGGTTCCGTCGGACGGGATTTGAACAACTCGCTTCTTCCATCCGGGCGGAATATTGGTAACAACGATAATTAATAATAAATTGGTTGGTGCGTATGCCTGGATAGCCCAAGGTACGGGTTCGAATCCCATCTAAAACCTGAACCAAGTCGATTTTTTTCTAGTAATATTTTCTTTAGATTTAATTTTTATTGTGTCAATTCTGAGTTAAAAGCTTGCGATTCAATTGCGATAGTATTATTTACAAATAATAATTTATTGACTTCAATATTTTTTTTCATGTAGAGGTTTCAGAGCCTATTATATTTTTATTTTTTCAGTTTGTAATACTACCTTTTTTATACCACATGCATAATACTCAGTCAAACCCGACTCACTCTAAGTTTTTGATTCCCGATTGAGTAATTTTTTCTACAATTGACCTATTAAACATTGTACAACTATGCATCTTCTTTTTATCCCCCACCCACCTGATGTTAAGTGTAAGTGGAGTACAGTCGCGTAGATATGTAGATGCAGAAAGTATGCAGTTCCAGCCATCCTCACCTTTCCGGCCTGAACCTAATCCTAACCCACAGAGCCCTAAAACCTTACTCACCAGCTGAAACACTGTTGTGAGTAAGGTTTTACTAGGTAGTGTTGTTTTGACTAGGGTCTTCTATAAGGTTTGCCTACCCAGGCAGGCGCCCCAATTCGAGCGGTAAATCCGCTGTGCCTATCCTCTATATTATTACAATATAGTACCGCCATAAAAAAATAGGGGTTGGTGGTAGAAAGGTGAAAATTTAGGGTTGTATGTAAATACATTAGTAAATACTAATGCTGTATCATAAAAAAAGAAAAAAAGAAAATTATCTAATTTTAAAAAAAACAATTTAGGGTTGCATTACCCTTAACATTTAGGAGGATGAAAAATAGATGTTGTCCGATTCTCAGACCTACCCAATATGCACACAAAATTTCATGAGAATCGGGAAAGCCGTCTCGGAGGAGTTTAACCACAAACACCGCGACACGAGAATTTTATATATTAGATTATAATGTAATTTGTAAAGACATCTACCAAAACGTTTCCAACCTAGGCCTAGTAGGATCCATATCGGAAAGTAGTGTGCGTCGTAATCAAATAATATTCCATACACGTCATGGCATTTTTTCATTGCCACAACGCGTTGTGATCGAATAGCATGTCAGCCACGACACGAATTTCGCTATTTGGTCTTTCTGTGATTGCCACAACGCGTCGTGCGCGATTTCATTAGAGCCATAACACGAATTTCGCCATGTGGTGTGTGTTTGGTTTTACTGTGACCATAACGCGTTGTGAGCTATTTTTTCGCTCACTGAGCTTTTACGATCTTAGAGCGTTACATATATATTATAAGTTATTTACGGGATTGTTACCATGTACCTTGTTTTTAGCGAGTTTCCGAGTTACTCCGTGTGGATGGCGCTTGCAACAGTGCCGAAACATCGGAAACTCACTAAAAACAAGGTACATGGCAGCAATCCCGTGAAACCATGAAAGTTTAAAACAATATACTCCTATCAAACCCTGTCAGAACATCAGCGCTGATGCGACCATGGTCGCACCAACTCATGCTGACACAGGGTCCTGGTTAACCGTTATTATTATCATTGCGATTTTATATTCCTTCTTTTTTACGATTTATTGTGTATTACTAACGGGGGTTAATAAAAATATACTTCTTTCTTTCTTCTTTTCTAACTATACAGGGTGTAAAAAATCCTATCAATCTCAACTATCTAGCGATCACGGTTCATGACGTACATCCTGGTGACAGACAGACGGACCGTGTAGTCTTAGTACTGTAATAGGGTCTTCTTTACCCTCTTGTTACAGACTCCCAAAAGTATTAAACACAATATATTATGTTCCTGGAAATATCACCTGCTAAGGTAAATGCTCGTGTTACTAATGTATTCACGTCTGTTAAATTAACGGGGTGGTCTTAATAAGGTTATATATATTTCATGTGGCGTCATCCAGGTAAATACATATTAACTTAAATACACATTACCTCTCTTTATGCTTTTGTAACGGTGAGGTATCACCAACCATTTTGTTCTTTTAGACGACTGCCTAAAATAAGACTGTAATGTATCCAAGGTTCTTAAATGTAAGGTACTACCGGATGACAAGGCCCACAGTTTTACAAATTGAAGTAGAACCTTTATTATACCACCCTAAAGGAAAAACGGGCTTAAAGCTACGGTTATTTCTAAATCTAATTATACAGGTGTAAAAAACACTATAACGAAGTCGAAGGCCACGTATTTTCCACATCATGACGATCATTTTTTTCTTCTGGACTATACCTGGGAAATTTATAGTTATGGCGATATTGAAGATCAATGTCACAATTTTTTTTTCAAGATTTATACATTAATATTTTCAAAACGTTATTTAGAAACTTTTTTATCGACGCACTTACACACACGCACACACAGGCACATTCTTTACGTAGCGCCACAGTAGCGCCCCGCGCTATACATTGCGTACTGGAAAAATATTGTATTATTTTAACTTTAAAATAAAAATGATTCCCACGTATAATATTATGTAATATTACTGGTTTGGGTGTACAGAATGCGAAGAAGTCTTTGTCATACGTTTTTTTACACCCTGTATGTAATAGAGATATGATTATAAATAATGTTCTCACTGCAGGCATGACTTATAGAGCTCTTGCTGCGCGTACGAAGTCCTGGCTCGATATGCGCGCGGGCAACAGGACAAGCTGATTGGTTGCTGGATGGCGGGGTAGTCGTCCGGACCGTTCAACCCACAGCATTCATACTAATACAATTAAAGCATTATTAGAAACTAACGGCTAGCCCTCGCTTCGCTTCGGTGTAGAGCTGAAGTGTAGACTACAGTTTTTGTTCTCAGGCTTGTATTATACACAATGACATTCATCTATGATTCTTCTTATACCTGCATGCAAAGTCTCAGCCCGATCGGTTTAAAATTGACAAAGTTTCATACAAACTTTCATTCCCTATTTTATCCCCTTGGGGGTAGAATTGATCATAATCCTTTCTTAGCGGATGCCTACGTCATAACATCTACCTGCATGCCAAATTTCAGCCCGATCCGTCCAGTGGTTTGGGCTGTGCGTTGATAGATCACTATGTCAGTCAGTCAGTCACATTTGAGTTTTATATATATAGATTCGGGAAGAAGCTCGATGGCGCAAGTGGTTAGCGCATTCGGCTGCGATCATTGAAGTTAAGCAACTTTCGCAGTGGTCGGTCATTGGATGGGTGACCAAAAATCTTCTATCTCGAGTTCCTCCGTGCTTCTGAAGGCACGATAAGCCGTTAGTCCCGGCTGCATCTGCAGTCGTTAGCACCCACCAATCCGCACTGGCTCACGTGGTGGGTTATGGCAATCTCCCTATTCCATCCATAGGGAACGCCTGTACCCCAGCAGTGGGGAATATTAATAGCCTGATGATGATGATGATGATGATGATGATGAGACATAAGGGTGTTGCTAAATGTATGAAAAGCTCGATGGCGCAAGAGGTTTGCGCATTCGGCATGCGATCTTGAAAAGTGAGCTACTTTTGCAATGGATGCAATTGAGCTACTTTTGCAATCATTGGATGGGTGACCAAAAACTTATTATCTCTAGCTACCAATTCGCACTGGGCCCGCGTGGTGGATCACAGCCCAGTCATCATATTATGTGACATACTCACACGTATTTGTAAGTCATCCCACATGCGTTCGTGGGCGCCTCGCCTCTCTTCAGTTACGTTGCTAAAGAAGTCTTCGCGCAGCCACTCCGTGACCCTGAATTGCAGGCCGTGACGCTGCACCGCCACGAATATAGTTATCAGCATCTGCAGCACTATCAGGATCATCAGAAGGGCTACATACTGGAACGAAAGGAGTTATCTTACTAATATCTTAAATGTGAGTTTGTATGTTTGTTACTCAACCACGCAAAAACGGATTTGGATGAAATTCGGTAAGCATGTAGTTTATAATAATAATAATTCATTTATTTCAGATAACTGTGATCCATATTTGTTTGTAGACTTATTCTATGTTAATAGTATATGTTTTAGAAATAATAGATTAGGACAGTACAACATTATTTTTCTTTGTGTCTTCATCACCCTCACACATTGCTTGATAAAGCAGCTATCCATTTTGTTGGCAACAGTCATTAGGATGGTGTTTGAGCTTGCTCGTATTCTGATCAGCATTGAAGCTATTTTTTTGCGCATGCATGCGTGAAACCCGTCAGTGCGCTCCTCGGCAAACATACCAGAGGCACTACAGAATCTTGGCAAACCCAGCAGCATCCTAAACGCATTAACGCAACGTTTATGGCTTGGATTAAGACATAAGATACTTTTTATCCCTGTAAAAGTTTAGGTTCCCGTGGGATTCTCAATAAACTTGAATAACGCGGACGATGACTCGGGCTGCCGCTACTGATTTTACAAAGATAAGATTATCCTCAAGTAGCTATGTAACTGATATCTTTAAACATGGTAGACCAATTTTAAACCATTCGATGAATACCCAGTGTCTTATTGGATTTCTGATAAGGATAATGTTGATGATAATCTTTTTATTAGCTTGATCTTAATTCGGAAGATTCAAAACCGATTATCTTGTAATTAACATATATCTCAAATCGAAACTGCTTCTCAACTGCCAGTATCAATTGTTTTCCCAGATTTTCCGCATTGAAACAGAAAAATCCAAGGAACCATTTACGATAGACTTTAATAGCTATTATATATCCTAATGCACTAAAGAACTCGACATTTATTTAAGACTAGCGGCCCGCCCTCGCTTCGCTTCGGTGTAGAGCTGAAGTGTAGACTACAGTTTTTGTTCTCAGGCTGGTATTATACACAATGACATTCATCTATGATTCTTCTTATACCTGCATGAAAAGTCTCAGCCCTATCGGTTTAAAATTGACAAAGTTTCATACAAACTTTCATTCCCTATTTTATCACCTTGGGGGTAGAATTGATCAAAATCCTTTCTTAGCGGATGCCTACGTCATAACATCTACCTGCATACCAAATTTCAGCCCGATCCGTCTAGTGGTTTGGGCTGTGCGTTGATAGATCACTATGTCAGTCAGTCACCTTTGAGTTTTATATATATAGATGGATTAATGGATGGATGATCTAATCTGATCTGATCATTTTAATTTCACAACCGCAGAGCATAAGTCCTCATCATCATCAACCTATTAATGTCCCCACTGTTGGGGCACAGGCCTTCCCTATGAATGGAATAGGAAGTTCGGGCCATTACCCATTACGCGGGCCCAGTGCGGATTGATGGGTGCTAACTATTGCAGCTACAGCCGGAACCAAGGGCTTAACGTGCTCTCCGAAGCACGGAGGAGCTCGAGAAATCCAATTAACAACCGCTGCAAAAGTTGCTCAGCTCCAGCGTTTGCAGCCGAACGCGCTAACATCTTGTACCATCCAGCTCCTTGACCATAGGCACTTACCATGTAAATAATCTTCAGGTTCTCCTTAATAGCTCCGATAAGGCCTGTCCCGGCAATGATGATGAGCAACACACTAGCGCAGATCACGATGACGTCACCAACGAAAGTGCCTGACGCGTGCTCCTGCCCGTACTGGTTCAACAGGCGGATATCCACCACGGCGAATCCGAGGATGCAATAAGCCAGTAGCTACAACCCATAAAAAGTAAGCAAGATGATGAACGTCACGGAAAGTATCATAGATATAGGATGTGAAGATAGAGAGAGTACTCAATTAAGTAATTGTGTTTGTTTCTTAGGTTTTGACGCACATCACTCATTAAATAAAACTAGTTTTTACGGGTTTAATGCACGAAACTTTATTTATTTATTGACGTTTCGTAGCCTTTACAGGCTACGTCGTCAGAATCAAACTTATATTTAATTTGTCGAGCTACCTTCGAAAGACTTTTATTGAGCGTTCGGTTATTTCATTGTTCGATTTTTAAAGTTTTATTGTCTTTGTATGAATTTATTATATAATTTACTTAATAAAGTCTTTCGAAGGTAGCTCGACAAATTAAATAAAAGTTTGATTCTGATGACGTAGCCTGTAAAGGCTACGAAACGTCAATAAATAAATAAAGTTTCGTGCATTAACCCGTAAAAACTAGTTTTAAGTAATTGTGCATGTGTCGGTGTTTGATTGGGAGTGATAGTGTCGTTTTACCAAGATATGCTTAAAACACAGGATACCATAACACAAACTAAATTATACCTAGGTAACACTGAAAATGTTTAGAAAATGAAAAACGGCTTAATGTAGAAAGTTGCGAATACTTTTATTGTTTTTTGGAGTAATCTCCGTTCCTCTCTGCACATCGTCGCATTCGATGGAACCACTGAGAAAAGCAGTGGGCCCATTCTTCCTTAGGGGTCTCTTCTATGGCATTTTCGTGCGCTTTCACCGCATCTTCAGAGCTCGTAAAGCGAATACCTCGAATTTTATCTTTAGTTCTTGGGAATAAATGAAAGTCGCAGGGCGCCAGGTCAGGACTGTATGGCGGATGACTCATTATCTCGACACCTGCCATAGTCAAATATTCAACAGTCCGTTTTGCGGAGTGCGCTGAAGCTTTGTTGTGGTGAAGGAGGATCCGGCTTCGAGGGCGCTGCTGTCGATTTTTTTCCAAGACAACAGGCAAACAGCGATTCGCACCTTTTAAGACAGATTGTAACATCCCCAGGTCGCATCCGAATCGAAAGCTTTCTCATAATCTACGAACGCCAAGCAAAGATACTCTTCGGTCTTCTGTATAACCTGCCGCCATCCTGCCACAGTGTATTCATGTGGTCTATAGTTTGGTAAGTACTCTATGGTAATCGTCAGTAGAGGGTTAAATACGTGGCCATGTAGGGTAATAATAAGAATTCCTGTCGCTAATTCGCTTTGGTTTGGGAAGCTATTACATAAAATGTAAAGTATATTTTTATCGAATCAGTATGATTAAAAACTTACTATTAAGTAAACATTTTGAATAAAATAACTTATAAATTAATAGGTTACTCTAATTACTTGAGAAAATACATTCAGTATCGAAAATATCGAAATTTCAATATTCATAATTCTTCAATATCGAAATTGGCAGAGAGGTCCGATATTGCGATCCCTAAGGGGATAATTCACGATGTTTAAGGGGTGGGGGGGGGGGGGGTCGAGTCAAATCTCATCTATTCTTACGTTGGAGAGAGGGGGGGTCTCGGCAAATATCACGCATTTTTTTTTCACAGTAGTATCTATTAAGTATTCTATTGTTAATACTATTTTTATTACACTTATAACTCTCAGCAATATTGATTACTAGTCTTAACTAGTCGTAAATAAAAGCACGAAGCATTTTTTTTCTTTTTACAATAACAATCCAACGCGTTTACGAAAGAAACCCACATTTTGAACAATCTCACGTGAACATCTTCTATAAAAAACTCTATTCGTATTTATACTGTGTGACACAGCAATCAAAATGCAGGTGAACAATTAATGTATAATTTCACATTATGTAATGAAAGGTGACTTTATGAATCATCTCTGAAGTCATTTTCAACTTGACGACTCTGTAAATGATAAAACAGGGAGAAAAAAACAGCCCTTGCTGAGTTCTTGCCGGTTCTTCTCAGTACAAGGTCTCTCGCCGTAGATTTACGAACCGATGGCTTAGCTTCTAGACATTCATATGACATTCATAACAGCCTAAACTGAATAAATGATTTTGATTATGATTATTATGGTTGCAGACCGACAAGGGGAGGATGACTGGTGTGACAGGTAGCACTGCAGCAGCAGCTATCTTAGCATCTGGACTCAACCGCCACTTAACATCAGGTGGGGTGGGGTTAGGTGGATTTCGACTTATTTCCGACATATATAAAAAATAGGCCACCTCTAAGGAAAGGCACCAAGACCTCAACCTTCTTAGCTACATTGTTTTTATTATGAGTCATACTTACGATACACAGTCCGTTCACCACCATAAACAGACCTTTGGCTATCCCTTGGTTGCATTCTTTGAAGTTCATACTTTATGATTTTACTGAAACAAGTACCTATATGTTTATCAAGTCGACGACTGAATGTATGACGGCAACTATGCCAAGCGCTATTTAAGTTATTATTTGCGATGGGAATCGGCAAATGGTTAAATGGTTATTATTAATTCATGAAAGCGATTAAAAACCCTTGGAACAGTTGCACATGGCAGCTTGTTTCTTATTGTATTGATTTTGCATAAAATGCAGATCTCTTTTACTATTTCGCTTGACATGCAGTGTCTCTATATCAACTCCTTGGCTTAAATCATTATCGAATTCGAATAGTGTGCGAGTACGAAATGTCTTTGTCAGATTTTGTATGGAAACTTGAACGGCAGTGCCACAACGGACGTACCGAGAACTAAAAATCAGTACACATTTGACATAATCGAAACCAAATATTCGAATTCGAGTCGAATGGTTTGTGCTAAGGTTACAATTCAATGAAACAATGAAAATTCTGTGAGAATTAAAACAGGGAGACAAAAGCAGATCTTTCAGAGTTTCTTGCCGGTTCTTCTCGTACTAGGTCACCCGTCGTAGATTTGCGAACTGTAACTGTAACTGTAACTGTGTATTTTGTATGAAAATGAGAACTAAAAATCAGTACACATTTGACAATGACATTTCGGACTCGCAAACTATTCGAATTCGATATTGGTTCGTGCTAAGGGTACTGATCGTGTAGCTTTCGACTTTCGCATGTGTTTGAACTAAACTAAACTAAACTGAATAGGTAAATGAATTTTGAATGTGAATATTCTTTTGTTTCACGTTGCTGCTGGAGAGGTTACTAACTTTCGATTACCACAGACTAAGATGCAATTCACAACCATTTAGTTCTAAGTGTTCTCGGCTTATTTTAAAATAAAAAAAACGAATAATAAAAAAAAATTATTTGATATAAAATATAAAAATAAATTCATCATTCATAATTTACAATGCATAATAAATGTTCAAATTGTAATGGATTCTGCTTCAAAATTCATAAAATATTATATGAATAAGTTATTTATCCATTCCACAACTTTTAAGATATTTTTTTTAATCCTCAATTTATAACATAAAATCAATTAAAAAAAATATATAACAAAGCACAACTTAGTAAAAACTTTTGCTTAAAATAAGATCTTTTTAATTTTAATTTTTTTACAGGTCACTGGTACATTGTACTGGATAATGTTTTCTAGGTAAACGATCTAAGAAAGGGCTTAACTTATTTTTATACAAAAAAGCATTATCTCATTGAAAATCATAATAAAATTCGTTTTCTCGGATTTACTATAGGAAAAGATTTCTTGTTCGAATGAAAATCAGCGATTGTCTGGGATATTAAGTACTCCGACATACTTAATAATATTATAAGTAGCAAAATAAAAGACAACATGCAGGGGCTTATATTAAAATATGGCGCCCCGGATCATTGCCCTCTTTTCATATATCTAGTATTATACGTATGTGTCAGATGTTTCAATATGTAATTGAAGTTCAGATCGACAGTCGAAAAGCAAAATCGCTTAAATACCATTTTAATAACTTTACAGAAACGAGGATCAAAGTTTTTTATTCTTATAAATAAAATTTATGTCGCTTCAGTGTTTTGAACAATGAGTGAGTTGCTTAAGCGCCAAAAAAGTATTCACATCTTCACGAAACTTAAAACAGATTGACGCAGACAAAAAACTAATTACAATGATTAATGTATATAACTCATTTTCAAGGTGCTATTTCGCCTTTCCTCTGTCGATATGGAGAAGGAGCAAATATGATTCTTTTTGACACAAAATTCAAAGTAAGTTGTTTGCTACCGAGCTTGATATTTTATACTATGTCCTCTCTGTATTAAGCTTAAACAATCATTGTCTTTATAATCTTAGCCTTATACTTCTAAAATAAACATAATTTAATAAAATAAATAAGTAAAAAGACAAAACGGTAGAATTAACAGCAGTGAACTCTGTAATGTGTTGGTCCCACCCGTCACGTCGTAGATGGGCTCTCTGAAAAGAGGAAAATAAATTCTATGGAAAACCTTTTCTTCTATAACTAATGCTACTAATATTATAAATGTAAAAGTGCGTATGTTTGTTACTTAATCACGCAAAAAAGACAGCTGAACGGATTACGATACAATTTTATACACAGACAACCTGAAAACAGACAGAATTCTTTTTATTCCAGAAAAGTGTTAGTGTCTTGAGGGATTTCCTAAAACTAAAGTTCGAACAGAAACGCAGGCTACTAAATAGAGTCTGTGCGGAAAGAGAATGGGCGTGGCGAAAAACGGAACTAACATTAAGATTTTTATATAGCAATCCAACCCAGCCATCTGTCAAAGCTTTGTATTGATACGGATTTGTTTGTTTTTGTGATTTCTTGCGGTTTTTTGTTTTTAATCATGTCTAAAAGGGGTAAACCCTTACAAATACGGTAGAAAAGCACTACAGCGCCCTCAAATCTAAATCCCATTCTCTTTCCGCACAGACTCTAATAATATTATAAAGCTGACGAAATCATTTGTTTGTTTGCTTGGTTGAACGTGGTAATCTCAAGAATTACTAGTTTAATTCGAAGTTCTGTAATATGATTATCAAACTGATAATTATCTGATGAACAAATGTTCCAATATTATGATGTACTTTCAGACTAGCCATACACGGATTGTTCGAACAGTTAGCATACACGGACTGCTCTTGCAGTCAGAGTCAACGAGTCAGAGTCAATGGCTTAAAGCTGCCATTGCACTGAGATGCCAACCGCCCGAAGCAGTCGTTGCTCTAGAGCGGTTCCGTGTATATGTGTACGTAGAAGAGATGTCGAACTGTTGTCTTTCCTGACGGCCCACCTAGTAGGACTTACTTTTAAAATTGTATATTGTGTACCCGTATATCCCCTTGACAAGCTTACATTAAAATCATAAATATTTATAAAATAATTATTTTCAAATAAATACTAGTAGACCATAACATGAGGTTCTGGTAATGAATATGGGCAAAAAATTATCTTCTTATATATATTTTTTTAAAATAGATATTCGGACTGCTCTTGCAGTCAGAGTCAACGGCTTGAAGCTGCCATTGCACTGCGATACCAATCGCCCGAAGCAGTCGTTGCTAGGGTTACCAACTTTTTTTCTATCAAATATAGTATTTTCGAAGCGTTACATCTAAAAATATAGTAGCTGGCAAAAAAATAGAAAAAAAGTAGGTGATAAAAATATTTACTTAATTTTTTAAATAAATATATATTTGCTGCACTTTACCTTACTAATACTATAATAATAATTTGTAATATTTTTTAAGAAAGCTTTTACTGTCAAAATATGCTTTAAGCAAAATAAAGTAGTTTCACCTACTTTAAATATTTTTTTAGAAATATAGTATTTGATCCCCTAATATAGTAGGATATTATATAGTCGGGTTGGCAACCCTAGTCGTTGCTTGAGCGGTTCCGTGTATATTTGTACGTAGAAGAGATCTCGAACTGTTGTCTTTCCTGACGGCCCCCCTAGTAGGGACATCAGGAATAACTTTTAGAATTGTATATTGTGTACTCGTATATTCCCTTGTCAAGCTTACATTAAAATCATAAACATTTGCAAAATCATTATCTATACTTATAATAAATCTGTAGAGATGTCAATTCTGTACATGAAATATATTTTTAAAATAACTATCAGGGGGTGATTAGTGATCGATACTGATGCCAAAAATGCAATCAGTAAATTTTTTGTCTGTCTGTCTGTCTGTGTGTATGTTCCTTATAGAAACAAAAACTACTCGACGGATTTTAACGAAACTTGGTAAAATTATTCTTCATACTCCTGGGCAGGTTATAGTATACTTTTCATCACGCTACAATCAGTAGGAGCAGAGTAGTGAAAGGAAATGTTGGGAAAACGGGAGAAGTTACTCCATTTTTTAAGCTTCCGTCGCGTGTGCAGCCTTAATTATTAAAGTTATATAGAAATCATGTATGACGGAAATATTCTACATAAAATTGTCTAAAAAATAGCCCGCAACAGCGTATGTCTATCTTTTATGGTTGACTCACAATAACACGTGTAACTCCCGATAGCTTAGCAGTTCGGAGCATTCTGATCATATTTGTTTACTCTTACGTTTATAATACTCGGTATAGAAACACCAAACTTATACATGAAATAAGCCATCGCGCCGTCGCACGTGAGTACTGAGTATAAATACTAGTAGACCATACAATCAAGCAATCCATGAATGGCCAGTCTGAAAGTACGTCATCGGATTCATCAGATAATTATCAGCTTGAAAAGTTCACTATGCAGTCGCAGCTTGTCAGTCAGGATGGACTATCATATCTTGTCCTACTTGTAAAAACTATGTAAATTAGAGTAAAATGGACGATGATAACAACTTTAAAAGTACAGGCGCTGATTAGTCATACATCTTCTACTATACGACTACTGTGAACCAAGCACCATGGGCTGGATTTATTCTGAGTGTATCTATGACTTCTGGAGCTATACTTAAGGCAGAAACAGATTTTTGAAACACGACGCCACGCGACGCGTTTTGAGTCAAATCAAATCTACTATTTTCTATGAAGCCTGTGTGTCGTAGCATAGCGTGTTTGGTAATGTGAGCCGGAACATCAGTACCCCTAGCACGAACTATTATCCAATTCGAATAGTTTGCAAACCGAAATGTCAATGTCAAATTTTGTACGGAAACTTGAACAGCAGCGGCACAAAGTGCGTAACGAGAACTAAAAATCAATACACACTTGACAATGACATTTCGGACTCGCAAACGATACGAATTCGATATTAGTTCGTGCTAGGGGTACAGGTTTCAATAATATGTTTCCGCGTTTATCCATACTTTTATTATAAATGCGAAAGTAACTGCTTTCGCCTGAATTATGACCTGAAAAACTTTTAAAAGTTGAAACCTTTTAAGTTACACAAAAGCAAAAACTAACGATGATTTCTAATCGCTTCACATCCTCAACAGTATTAATTTTCGCTCTGTTGCGCAGAGTGGCTACTTATGGAAAAAGGTGGAACTTCAATTTTATATTTATTCATCATCATCATCAGTCTACTAATGCCCCCACTGCTGCGGTACAGGCCTTCCCTATGGATGGAATAGGGAGATTGGCCCATGACCCACCACGCGGGTCCAGTGCGGATTGGCGGGTGCTAACGACTGCAGATGCAGCCGGGACCAACGGCTTAACGTGCCTTCCGAAGCACGAAGGAACTCAAGATAGTATTTTTTTCGGTCACCCATCCAATGACCGACCACTGCGAAAGTTGCTTAACTTCAACGATCGCAGCCGAACGCGCTAACCACCTGCGCCATCGAGCTCCTCAATTATTATATTTATATTATTTTCACAGCACAATTTAATTTTCTCTGTCTATTTACATCATCTCTTGGTGTTATGCTGTTCAGTATAAGATGGATTCCAGTTGTAAGAGAGCTGATACAAATAAAGATTGATACATGGTGACACTCAACCATATAAATCATTACACCTATTTTACTGATGGTCTGTCTCAATAAATGTTTTTTTTTCTTCTTTCAAGGAGCTATTACAATCTTAGTAACTGTAATAACAAATACTATTAGAATAGTGTTTTATGGCTACATTATTGATAATTTTTATATGACAACACAAAATGTTCACAAATGTGGAGTCATAATTTTTATAAGACTGCACGAAATTTTCTCAAATGTAGATTCATAATTTTTACAATACGTAAAAGTTGAACACCAAATAAAACCAACGATGAGTGTAATTATTTTATTAACTTTGGTTACAAGTAGGTACATCAAAAAATATAATATGAAGTTCTCGAAATAAGAAAACCGGAAGGTATGACCTAATAATTGGAGTATATCATGTGTAACGATTATGATAGTCGACAAGAAATCGTAATTGGTCTAAAACTAGATTACGAGAAAGGTCTATTTTTTGATCAATTGTAGTGTATTTGACTTCTCAGATTCACGTCTCATTAAATCGTATTCATTCATGTACTATCATTTTGTTCCACTGAGTAATCTGAATGTGGTTTAAACCAGCAATATCTATGGCAATCTTCGTCATCTCTAATTGAAGACCGGTATAACAAGTTCTACCTTCCATAACTGTTTAACAGATAAAGAGTGCTGAATATGTACTGGTTCATCTATCACATTCTTCCATTTAAGATCTGTGGAAATGTGGAATCATAATACGTCGTTTATCTGGCATGTAAGTTACGTGTAGGCTATTAGTGATTTATAAGCAGTAGAGAACCTCATACTTTTTAAGCTAATTTCAGTATAAAACATCTTCCTTTAACTGGTGTTTTTGGATGTGGACAAGAGTTCCTGGTACGCCCCTAATTCTCAATAAGTATACTGAACATCCAACATTCTGCACTGGGCCCGTGTGATGAGTCATGGCCCAATCTTCATATTCCATTCATAGGAAAGGCCTATGCCCATGCAGTGGGAACATTAATAGGCCCTTTGATGATGATACTGATTGAAGCCTTTGTCATTAGATATCCTGCGCTTGTACCTCTTACAGTTAAATTGGCGATATCTCATAATAGTCCATCTTACACTAAATTTCATAGTTTTTAATGCCATGGAGCAGTATACGACATGAAGAATAACTATGAGAGAGATGAAGAAAAGTCTTCAAAAAAATAGTTTTTACAAGGTAATGTACCTAAAAAGCAAAAATATTCAAATTCATTTATTTATTTATACTTTATTGCAAAGAAGAGTGACATAATGCCATAAGGCATTGTCTACTATCGAGTGTGAGAAAAAAATACCACGGTAATGGTGCAATAAAGACAAATGTGAGATAAAACAAACCTAGAAATATAAATAACAAAATTTAATGGCAACTGACGAGAATTAATTAAAAGGTAAGTTTAATGGTAGCGGCAAACTTCTACAACCAAAGCATAGACAACCGAGTCTACAGCTGCAGAAGAAATTTTACATACAAAAACGTGTACTACGCAAGATTATTTGCCTGTGAATCAATGAATAGAAGTTAATTTATTTCTAATATGCTTTCACGCATACCATTCATTAAATAAAACTACTGTAGAACGGGTTCAATATGCGTTTTTAATAGTATTTTAATAACTCTATGTTTAAATAAAACAAGTTTCAACGGGTTAGATGTTAGATTAGATGGTTATATAGGAATGCGTCGTCGAAATTCATGCAAAGAATGCAAAACGTCATAAATGTATAAAATCAGTGAGTGATGTGCGTGAAAACCTAATAAACAAATAACTCTATGTTTGGCGTTCTGAAAAGGATGGTGGAGTTATAGTTTGACATAGGTACTCGTGATCGTGCATCCTGAAAAGGATGCGACACGTAGAGTTATAAATATAAATAAATATTTCCAACACTCACACCAATTAGCCTAGCCCCAAAGTAAGCACTGTAAGGCTTGTGTTCTGGGATACTAGGGTAACGGATACAATACATATACTGTACATATATAAGTATATTTTTATTTATAAATACATATGAAACATCCATGACTGGAGTACAAATGCTCGTATTCATCAAACAAACATCTGCCACCACCGGGATTCGAACCCGAGACTTCTCGAGTCGGCGACACCATGAAACCCGGCGTACAAACCACTCGACCACGGAGGTCGTCACGATATGAAAAAATATACACAAGCAAATTATGTCTGTGTAAAAGGTATTAATAATCGCATATTAAACCCTTTTAAAAGTAGTTTTAATTGAATGGAATTTTATTACATAGATAGGGTACATTATTTTGGGGTCATACATATTATTGGATCAAGAAGTTTGCCGCTACCCATAGCATCTTGAAATTTCCTACATAAGGCCGATGACACCGCAGGCTACACGACCTCCTGCATTTCCAGTCTTTCTGGAATCAGGATGGTCGCTTCTGCCGAAGTCATCAGCTTTTTCGTGAAGTACTACAGCCCTGCCGATGATGTTGTGAGCTCCGCGCAATGCCAGCTGGCTGTCAACGAAGTCGAAAGTGCTGACTTTTTGTTCGTCGAAAACAATGTTGCCCAAATCGCCGACGTGGCGAGCGGCGTCGTTGGGATGGCCGTGCGGTTGCTGAAAATAATAATGATTTTCTATATTATAGGGGCAGTCGGTTCACCTGATAGTGTTAATATTATTTTGATTTTTGGGGCTATGCAGTCCTAATGGGACTGTAATCACCGCACACGGGCCACCGACCACAACCACTAAACGCCGCCACCGGCATATTTCTTGTAGTTTTCATACATTTTATATTTACTCGCCACACACAGTACGCCGGTGGCCGCCACTCGCTACAAATCGTCATTGCTCGCTTCTTGTGGCCCGCACCGGCCACTTAATGCGCCGATACAAAACGCCGCCATACGTCACCATTACGATTCCCCACCCCTCTCTCCCTTATCTTAGTCGGCCGCTGTCACGCGCTTCAGCCACTTAAGTGGCCGCTCCTAGCTTCTCGTATCGGTGTTTGTGGCTGTGGCGTGTGGCCCGTGTGCGGCGACACTAAGATCTATTGTGACTCGCCACCAAATTAAAGTATCTCTTTTGGACCGAGAGCTTCCAAGAAGCTCAAAATCACCTGATGGTAAGTGATCACCGTCACCCATAGATATCCGCAATACCAGGAATACCATATTAATGCGATGCCAGCTTTTAAGGAAGAAGAACGCTCTTTTTTGATGGATTTCGAGTAGTATTGGTTCGGAAACACTGCTGGCGACAATATACTCCACAGTTTAGTCGTACGTTGTAAAAAAATTCGACAAAATCGCACGGATGTGGATAGCCACGTATCAAGATGATGGGGATTAAATTTTTGTCGCGCTGTATAATGGCGAAAAACAGCAGCTGAAATTAAATATTCAAACACTCACAATAATAAGTCTAGTTTCAGAGTAAGGACTGTAAGGCTTGTTTTATAGTATACTAGGGTATCGGATGGTTGGATGAATAGAGTTAATGATAACTAGATAACTGTATTTGTAGAAGTATATTTAAACAGTATTCATCATACAAACATTTGCTCTACTGGTGCTCGAACCCAGGACCGCTGAATAAACGACACGTTGAAAATCGGTGTACAATCACGTTCTTAGTTTGATACCCACTATCTCGGACAGCAAACAGACATCTTAAGAGCAGATTTTTTGGCCGAATACATTGCTATACCAAACTGTTAATCAAATGCCTGTATTACTGTGTCAGTAGAGACAACTGTTCAGTTTACATGCCACAAAAATTACCAATCAATTAACTTACCATCCAGCTCGCCCACCGTTCTTTGTGTAATTTGATATTGGCTCCATTTATTTAACACTAAGTTACTAGCTATAAAAGGAGGAGTTCGCTGGTAAGTGCGTTCGGCCTGAAGCAACTTTCGCAATGGTCGGTCATTGTATGGGTGCCCAAAAACTTATCTCGAGCTCCTCCAAACTTTAAAAGTTACATTAAACCGTTGGTCCCAGCTGCAGTCGTTAGCACTTACCAATCCGCATTGGGCCCGCGTGGTGGGTCACGGTCCAACCTCACTTTTCTCATTAATATGCTGTGATGATGATGACTAGCTATAAAATTACTTATCTTTAAAATCTTATAATATGGAGGGGCTCGATGGTGCAGGTGACTAGCGCCGTCGGTACGGTATATTATCTCGAACTCCTTTGTGCTCCAGAAAACAAATTAGTCGTTGGTCCTGTGGTTGGTGGGTGCTAATGACTGCAGATACAGCACACAGATGATGCACCCACTAATCCGTTTTGAAACTGCGTAGTTGGTCATAGTCCAATCTCCTTTTTACTGGCCTGTAAAGGCATGTCCCCAGCAGTGGAGATATCAATAGGCTGATAATGAAGAAGATGATAAAGACTTATTTATCAAACTGTCTTACGTTCTCAGGGTTGAAATGTGATCCGGTGGAGGCACAGCCGCTCCTTAGGTCTCCCTTCTCGTGGACATGGAACCCGTACTCGCCGGGTGCCATACCGGTAATGTTGCCTTGGACTCGCACTTTGTGGTCTTCTGTCTCCGTGAATGTGACCGCACCGTTAACTTCTTTACCGACCAATACTACACCGGCAGTGTGTAAGCCGTCCTTAAAAGAAAAATAATACTTCTTTTAGTCATCGCATCAAAATTCGCGAGGTACGGGATTGGTTCAGGCCTGCAATGTGAGTATACCTGGAGCAGCACACCTTTTGCCGCATCATCTATCTTCGCAACCAGACTTCCCTTACACTTAACATCAGGTGAAGTGAGGTAATTTGTTGCGCCCTACGGAAGCGAAACGTGGTTTTACTACGGGTCTTATAAGAAGTGTTCCCTCCTTCCTATAATCTGGGGTCCTTTAAGAGAGGCGTGAAGAAGCATTTTTGCAGGCCGGCAAGGTGAAGATGATTGGTGTAGCAGTTTATAACTGCTGTAGCTATCTTCGCGTTTGGACTTTATTACCACTTAACATCAGGTGGCGTAGAGTCATTTGCCTACCTTAATATATAAAAAAAGAAGAAGAGTCAAAGTCACACAGCGAGCAATGGAGAGAGTGATGTGAGGAAATCCGCAGAAGAACTTAAGTAACCGTCATCGCTCGAAAGATTGCCCTACTGAAGTGGCAGTGGACGGAACATGTAGAAAGATAAGAACCGGTGGCCGTTGAGGCAGAAAGGTTCTCGAGTGGCGACCACGAACCGGACAATGCTCATCAGTGAATAATGACCGAAGATCTAGTAAAGGTTACGGGAAGCTGATGGATGTGAATAGAGCAGGGCCTATCGATGTGGAGATCCTTAGAGGAGATTTATGTTCACCAATAGTCGTTGCACGGCTAAGATGATGATTTTATGACGTTAAGTAGTTCGGATTCTGTAGCTTATATGTGAGCATATAGGAATTGGTGTTACCCTGGACAGGAGGTGGTGTCAATTCTTAAATTCAGCCAAGTGTTCGACTTGCGAGTCAATACAACATAACATTTTCAAACGCTTGAATTTACAAATCTAAATGTTACGTTAATTTTTAGGGTTCCATACCCAAAGGGTATAAACGAAACCTTATTACTAAGACTCCACTGTCCGTCTATTGGTCTGTCTGTCTGTCCGTCTGTCTGTCTGCCTTCCTGTCTGTTACCAGGCTGACGCATGAATTGTGATAGCTAGACAGTTGAAAATTTTACAGATGATGTAATTCTGTTGCCGCTATAATAACAAATACTAATTTTGTTGTTTTTGCTCTATATTAATAACGGCAACAGGTAGACGCTTGAAAAATTTGCAGAATAACTGGTTGTATATGCACTTTAAGAATAAATTATTGAATAAAAATAAATATTAAAGGGACCCTATACAACGACGTGATTTGTTTACCGGTTTTTGCTCGATATTATAAATAGTGTCTAATGTTGTGTATAATGATACCGAACCTTTCGTGAGTGAATAATATTTCTGTCAAAAAACCAAACCACATAAATATTTGATTTAATATTTGTCCCCGATGTTTAGGCACTTGCAACAGTGCCTTTATCGTGGAAAGGACAATGGCGAAATATTTGTTGAAGTAAATCTTTAGATTTATTAAACAATTCAGGAGGGTTGCCTAAGTCTGGAATTAAAAACTTAAAAAAGGGAAACACAATTGACTATTTTTTTTTTTTATTGGGGCTTGGCATCATGGCTTTTGATGTGATGAAATCAACTTTAAATATATTATTCGTATGTTTTGCATCGCTTTACGCTTAAACTGTATTTAATTATCTATCAAAAATATCAGGAAACATTATTTTTCAATATTATATTGAAACCATAATAAATAATCTCCACAATACAAAAAGAGTATGGCGACAATTCTAACGAAAAAAACTATAACTGTCACTGTCATGCTTGTCATCGAATTGTTGTTGTTATTGTTCCCTTAAACTTAAGTTACTCTTTGTTGTTAACATCGTTGCTTGTGCTAAGTGCATGCGTGTTGCAACAATTTAAATCGGCGCATTGTGTTTTTTTCTGTGATTTGTGTTTTTATGTGACTTGGACTGCATTTGGACTCTCGAAATCTTCCCTGCGACTGTTGAGTAGTGCTTGCCTAAGACTTCCGAATCTGATATTTCGGATGACTTCTTGCTGTGGATTTTGGACTCGATTGTGTCCCATACTGTGGATTTTATTTCATTGTATCTACTATCTACGATATTGTGATCAAAGATATGGAATAAATAATATATAAAAAAGTGTTTCATATTTAATTAATATCCCATTAGAAATTCTTTTTTATACTTTATTATTGCTGTGGTCATTTTCAAATTGTTAAGTTCTTCTTACAGTACAGACATTTTATTCGAACTAAATAACCCTGGTCTGTTTAGTATTTATTATTAAGTATTTTTACACGGTTGGTCAGTACCTACGCCCACTGATCATACATTATAAAAAACATTTTTTTCCGTCACTAATCTACGGGACCCGTATACATTTTATTTTGATATAAAAATACTCTTGAAAATACTTTAATAATTCGTTTTTGTATTACTTGGTATGACATAACCTCCAAAGCTTCAAAGTAGAATATCTATAAATCCTGACTTCCTATAATAAAAGAAATCAGACGAATCAAATTGAGAATCTAAACTCTATAATTTAACATGCAATTCATTTATAGACGCAAAAAAAAATTTCAACAAAAATTTGTATGGGAGTTCGCCATTGTCCTTTCGGCACTGTCGAATATCGTGGGAAAACAAGGCATATGGTAGCAATCAACCCGCTAACTACTCTAATGTAATTGATACTGTTCGTCTTATAACAAAACGCTGACTACAGTTAAATCAGGTCTATAAATAGTACTATCACCTTCATTTGCTAAAAATAAGACGGAGACTGCGATTGGTTTTAGCCAAAGCTTCTCTAGTTCAAGTTTTGGAATACGGCAGTAACCCCCTCATTAATAAACGAAGACTTCGCTTGGATTAGATATTATATGTTTTGTCTCTGTTTATTAAATGACAAATGGCATTTGAGTGACATGAACAAAACACGGCCTAACTAATCTAAGCTTATAATTTTTATTATTTTAAAGCATGTAACTGCTTGATGTTTAAATCTAAAGAAAATATAATGGTCAGTGCATTCGCCCGGATTGCGAAGGGTGCGGGTTCGAGTCCCGTCTGCTGCCTGGTCCGCGTGGTTTTTTTTCTAGTCTTAAGCTTATTCCTTGTTTGTTAATAACGGGCTAAAAGTTTAAAACATTAAACAATCAAACATAACTCCCAACGAATTCATGCCATGTAGTCCGAGAGTTATAGCAAACGAGTTGTTAGTACAGTCAATCTGTCGAAAAAAATATCGTTTCAGTGAAAAAAAAACCTAAAGGGTAAGTCTTGTTTTTTCTGTTGCCAAATGACGTCAGTAAGCCACCTTGGCGATGGGCATGTTCAACTCGCAGGCGTTTTTTGAAAAACAAAAAAACCGTCAAAAATTTTTTGAAACGCATTTTTCTTGTTTTGTTTGCATTTTAAAAACTTTTTTTTCGACCATAATTGTAGAGGGCGTTGAGTACTACAATTTATGTCATTGTTGCAATCTCGTACAACAAAAAATGCGCATTGTAGGTGGCGCTAAAGTCTCAAAAAAAGTGTTTTTTCACTTTATCACCTTGAAAATATCATTTTAATGGAAAACTTTAAATGGCGAAGTTGTTTCGTACATAATTACCAACAACTTTTGTATAAACAATTTTTTTGTATTACTTACCGTTTTCAAGTTATAAATTGCGCAGGTATGAAAAATCCAATAGAGCGGTTTTGGGCAGTTCAAGTACACATTTGCAGTGCACATTTCAATGTACGTTTTACTATTTTTTATTTTTTTTCATGATTGAAAAACAAAAAAAAATGAAAAAAAAAAGTTTTATTTTTATTTTTTTTTTCATGATTGAAAAAAAAATAGTAAAAACGTACATTGAATTGTGCACTGCAAATGTGTACTTGAACTGCCCAAAACCGCTCTATTGGATTTTTCATACCTGCGCAATTTATAACTTGAAAACGGTAAGTAATAAAAAAAAAGGTTTATACAAAAGTTGTTGGTAATTATGTACGAAACAACTTCGCCATTTAAAGTTTTCCATTAAAATGATATTTTCAGGGTGAAAAAGTGAAAAATCACTTTTTTTGCGACTTTAGCGCCACCTACAATGCGCATTTTTTGTTGTACGAGATTGCAACAATGACATAAATTGTAGTACTCAACGCTCTCTACAATTATGGTCGAAAAAAAAATTTCCAAAAATGTTACAAAACAAGAAAAATGCGTTTCAAAAAATTTTTGACTGTTTTTTTGAGTTTTTCAAAAAACGCCTACGAGTTGAACATGCCCATCGCCAAGGTGGCTTACTGACGTCATTTGGCAACAGAAAAACTAAGACTTACCCTTTAGGTTTTTTTTTCACGACTCAACCTACAGATTGACTGTACTATGTATGTGTGCACGGCATTCAATATTGACTCTATGTAAATGACGTAAATTGATTAAAAATATAATCAGCCTCTGCGAATGCGCGTTGTTTGTACAAGAGTTTGGGGACATCGTTTCCTTATGCACGTCATTCACAATCGAATCACTGACCTTCCGCATTTTATTCGGACAAAGCACTCTGATTTGAAATGATTAAAAAAATATAAAAAAACACGAATGACGAGCAGAAAATTACAAATTACGCGGTAGCGAAAACAAGTATGTTACAAAGGAGATATTTCATACTTGGGCTAGGTCTTGTACATAATGTACAAATAAAAGAAATCAAGAACATAATCGAATCAAATTATTAAAATTTCCAAATAAAGTTTTATTTTGCAGTACTTTTTTTATCAATTACTAGAGGTCGTCCGCGACTTCGTCTGCGTTAACTTAGTTTCTTGAAAATCCCTCTGGAACCTAACATTTTTTCGGGATAAAAGTAGCCTATGTGTGAATCTAGGGTGTCAGCTAACTCCATACCATTTTTTTTTTAAATCGCTCCAGCCGTTTAGACGTGAAGAAGTAGCAAACATACACACACACACATACTCACACACTCACAAACTTTCGCCTTTATAATATTAGTGTGACGATATTTAACTCTACAATAGCGAACCTAATTGTCAACGTCAGATTGGCGCATGGAGTTTAGAGATAAGGAAAACGATCGCTGTCGAATATAGTGTCCCACAAATATGGACAAAATAAGTGAGGCGCTGCGATCGCTAAGTTGTCTCAATAAAAGCGGGCTAATTTTATATGACCAATGTCGCGAAGCAAATTTGTACAATATTCAACTAACTTCATCTACTTGTACTCATAAACAGCTAACTTCACAGATACTACTTACCGACGGCAGCGCGGCTGGTGGTTGAAAAATGAACTATAATTTCCACAAATTTTCAGGGAAGGCGGGCTAATGCTTTAGTTTGGCTTACATCAACTCTAGAAAACTTAATGTCACTGTCAATCATGTGTCAACTAGTGTCAAGTGTTCACTGTTTAGAAATTCAATAACAGCACAGTACTCTACAAAATTTTTCTAAGTACTCTTTCACCTAATATATAAATAAAAATATTACCCCGTGATATTTTTTGTGCCATTATAGCTTGTTCAGACTTTTTGAGTATGCTTAAGTTTTAATAATGTGTTATTTTTTTACAGAAATAGTATTTATATATTTACCGCATGATGCGCAAACGTAGCTCCCACTGACACCAACAAAACGACGAACTTCAACATCTTTGATCACGGTTTGTCTGAAAAACAAAACAAGTCTCATCGTCATGCGTACAAAAACATTCATTGTGTTGCTCACAGCAAAAACTAGACGAACGGATAGTGATCGTCCATGGTTATACAGACAATTGTGAATTATTTTGTACTCTGATTCTGTTCGAAAGTAGTCTCGCCAAGTACTTGCTCGATGCTTTGGATAGGTTACAGCGGCGTGCGATACGCATCATAGACGATGAGGAGGTGACTAAACACCTTGAGCCTCTTCAATTACGCCGTGACGTCACTAAGCGTGTTCTATCGTCTGTACTACGGCGAGTGTTCTGAGGAGTTATTCTCTCTTATCCCACCTTCCCCTTTCCTTCAGAGGACCACGCGCGCTGGCCTACGTTGTCGCCGTCTTACTGTGACCACACTTCCAACGCGTACGAAGAAATTTGGTGACTCATTTCTTTGTCGCACTATCCGTAAATGGAATGCTCTGCCCGCTCACGTGTTCCCTCCTTCTTACAACCTGGGATCCTTTAAAAGAGGCGTGAAGAAGTAACATGCAGGCCGGCAGGGTGAGGATGGCTGGTGTGGCAGGTAGAACTGCTGTATCAGCTATCTTCGCGTCTGGACTTCACCTTCACTTAACATCAGGTGGGGTGGAGTCATTTGTCGGACCTATCTATAAAAAAAAATGTCTCATAGGATCTTTTTAAGTCCAGGCAGTAAAAATATGGAAGTACGGACGGGGAGAACTACGCTTGTCATCCCGCTCCACCGGCAATCAGTGGACTGTCTAGGGAACACCAGTCTACATTGCACGATTCTTGGGATGAATAGTGCCCCCGATGCTCTGGAGAACCGCACATCGGGGTGGGTCTGGCAACGGAAAATCACTTAGCGGGACTGTAGATTTGTTCACCCTCCCATGGTTTCCGCAACCCCGACGGGTAGAGTGTGACCAGATTCAGTATTTTAATACTTTTTCGGTATATTTCATCGACTTTTCAGAGCGTCAGTATTTTTGTAGGTATATTGACGCAGGTCAGTATTTTCGGGTATATTTTGGATAAAAAGTTATGACAACATCGTAGCGATCGTCCCGCGAATATTAATGTTCTATTGATTTCTCAGATTACGTCTTTAATTCGTTTGGAATCAGTGGTCAGCAAGTTACAGATAGGATATGGCAGGCAAATCATCTCTAAGAGCTAAGACTATTAAATGAAATGATTTTTTGTTCTACAGTTCTGTAGACTTCATCTTTTAAGGAATTCAGGAATTTGCCCAAAGTACTACCTTTTTAGGAGGAGCTCGATGGCGCAAGTGGTTAGAGCGTTCCGCTGCGATCGTTGAATTTAAGCAACTTTCGCAGTGGTCGGTCATTGGATGGGTGACCGAAAATTTACTATCTCGAGCTCCTCCGTGCTTCGGAAGGCACGTTAAGCTGTTGGACGCGACTGCATCTGCAGTCGCACCCGCCAATCCGCACAGGACAGGGCCCGCGTGTTGGGTCATAGCCCTAACTTACTATTCCATCCATAGGGAAGGCCTGTGCCCCAGCAGTGGAGATATTAATAGGCTGATGATGATGATGATGACTAAGTTTTATAATCGTCATATAAATAGAACGCGTATTTTTCTTTGTTGTAAATGAATAATATTATAGTTAACTAGCTTTTTCAAAATCACACAAGAACTTAACAATTTTCCGGGATAAAAGGTGATGTCCCAATCCAGGTCAAAATCTGTATGCGTACCAAAGTTCATCCAAATCCGTTCAGTAGTTTTTGTGTGATTGAGTAACAAATAAACAAAACATACAAACTTTCACATTTATAACATTAAGTAGGATAATATAGTATAGTATTAACACAAATTTACCTATTTTAACTCTATTCTATATAACTAGTATCTATTTAACTATGAATATTATATAATATTTTTTCTTAAAAAATATTATTGAATATTTTCTTGCCCTTTCACATTTTTTGCAAAAAATCGTAATTTTTTAACGCCTCGTTTATCTCGCCCATTGGAAAAGATTTTGGCTATTTTCAATAGACGTAAACCCAAAGCACTACGCGTTCGCTTCGAATTGGCTACTTCCACCCTCCCAGCTTCAGAATACCGCGCCTTAGGGTGCGGCCAGAGTGCACTCAGATTCAGAGTCAGATTCAGATTCTGAAAACAAGCGCGAGAAATAAACAGTGTAGTCTAAGCAGGTTGCCTGCTTTTTCTCGCGCTTTGTTTTCTGAGTCCGAATCTGAATCTGAATCAGGAGTGCAATCTGGCCGTACCCTTCGACTACACTGTTTATTTCTCACGCTTGTTTTCGAAATCTGAATCTGAGTCTGAATCTGAGTGCACTCTGGCCGCACCCTTAGACAGTCCCTATTAGTCGACCTTATTGGACGATGGTACCAGTTGATGTGCCTGTGATTGGCCATCGACGGCCAACTTGAAACAAACGAGTAGTCTTTAACGCCACTAATGTGATTCAACTTTTCTTTACTTTGTTTTTAACCTCCCTATTTTCTTGTATACCTACTTTTATCTTTACTATCCTTCTATGCTTCCTCTTTCAGACTTCTGCCCGTGCCCCTGGCTGTATCAAATAGCAGCCTCGAGCACGGACAGTATATTATTAAACATGTTGAAATTTGATTAAAAATAACATAATTAAAAAGACATATTGTAAATAACCGAATAAAAAAATTATGAAAAAAAAAAAAAAAAAATAGACGTAAACAGTAGATTTATTCTACTTATTGTAAGTTAATGTAGAATATTTGTAAAAACTATTTTGGTTTTTTGTACTGATCGTTCTACTGCAGCTAGTTTACGGATAAAATGATAATATGCACAACTTCAAAGGCCTAAATCTCTCAATAATGTGAAAAGAGTACTATCAAAAACTTTCATAAAACTAATCTACCATCATTGAACTACTGAAATATGTATATATTTTTACAATTAATTCATTAATAATTATTTTATAAGACTCGAAACATCACCCGTAAAATGCAATATATACTAGTGCAAATCTACCAACGCGCTGAACAGTACGGCAGCGGCGCAATTTTGTAAAAGGGATCTTAACGTTTGCACCAATTAGGCTAGCCTCAAAATAAGCAAACTATTTATATCTGTCCTTTATTTAAAGTGTGTACTTTAAATAAAGACTCTTCCACGAAATATTGCCAAAAATATTGAGTAGTTTGCGGGACTATATTTTTTCCAACATTACTGCCAATCCTATTACAATATTATTGTGTGTGTGCGGTTAGCTGAAGGCTGAAGCTTAGCGTACAATATTAATTAGAGAATCCATGTAAGTTAAGTAATTTTTGTCTGTTATTTACAAAAGGACCAGACTATATAAAGCCTTGTTAGAAGCCAAATTACTTTTTTACGGCTAATCCTATCCTATTAACCAGACAATCGCATTACGCTATAGTTACTAATAGGATTTTGACATTGTAAAAATTAAAGCACCACCTGTGCTAAGCACGAACTATTACCGACTTCGTAACGTTTGTGAGTCCGAAATGTCATTGACAAATGTGTACTGATTTTTAGCTCTCGTTACGTACTTTGTGGCGCTGCTGTTCAAGTTTCCATACAAAATTTGACAATGACATTTCGTACTCGCAAACTATACGAATTCGATAATGGTTCATGCTAGGGGTACTGGTGGCATCTGTATTTGAAACTGATATTGGCAGCGAATTCACTGTTCTGACAGAAAACATAATTTATCCCCTCGACTGTGTAGCAATCCACTTAGATTTTCACGACCGGAAAATCTAAAAGTTTTCCGGCCGATTTCCCGGGTTCGACTCCCGGTGGGGGCAGATGTGTGATGAATACGAGCATTTGTAATCTATATATATATACTAGCTGCCCCAGCGAACTTCGTACCGCCATAAAAATAGGGGCAGGTGGTAGAAGAGAAAATTTAGATTTGTATGTATTTTTAAACCACATTATAAAAAAATAAATATTGTCCAAAAATAATTTTAGGGTTGTGTAACGTAGTGTTCTATCAATTTCCTGGGATAACATTCCTCCTAACCCATGTGAGAAAACTACGTTACGATACCCAATAGTTTGAAATTTGGCGCGAAAGCGCATTATAAGTTTCAGAACACAACGTTACAGATGTACAACCATTATCACTTAGGGGTATGAAAAATAGATAGTAGCCGATTCTCAGACCCACGGAATATGCATATAAAATTACATAAAAATCGGTCAGGCCGTTTCGGAGGAGTATGGTAACTAACATTGTGACACGAGAATTTTATATACGAGTATATATGATATATATGTGTATATACTAAATATGTTAGAACGCAAAATAGGAAAAAATAAAATATGAAAATAATTTCTCAACCCCTGGCACAAATCATATACTAACACAGACAAGGGGCTACAGTTTCTCTACATTTTAAAATCTAAACGTAGATAGTAGAATATCTAGAGTGAAAAATTGTTTTCAACAATTTCCACTTTATCAAATGACGTTACTAGTTTGTAAACTTGCTTAGACATAACTTAGTATCTTAGCTTTGTATGCCATTTGAGATTTTTATAGTAGTGGGAGCCCAAACGGGAATTTCGGGTTTTAATCGAGCGCAGCAGAATAACATAAGGGGAGCAAACTTTGCACCTTATGAAGTATTCGCACCATACCTAAGCCCTTTTTATATAGGGCCGAATTACTACTCACTAATAAACTAATACATATTAAACATCCATGACTGGATTACAAATCCTCGTATTCATCACACAAACATCTGCCCCCACCGGGAGTCGAACCCGGGACCTTTTCAGTAGGCGACACCTTAAAACCCAGCGTATAAACCACTACGCCACGGAGGTCGTCACAGAATGTAAGTAGTTACTTGAATTACGACTCATTCACTAAACAGTTTATCTCATTCTTACGGTAAGCAATTAATGTTGTTGTCAATTAAATATCCATTAAAAAATAAATATTTAATAAAGATAAAAATATGAGAGAGTACATTT